GCAGCGGAATAAACAAAATACTAGACTTTACATGATTGTACATAATCGTTCCTAGTCTAGCACAAAAATAAACGACATCTTTAGATGTCCCACTCGGGATCCAAGTACCCCTCTAATGAAGCTTCTCCATGGCCCGACTTGTTAGCACTAAGCTCCTCCTCTGGCCCATAATTTGTAAAATGTTTAACTGTAGGGGGTGAGCACGAAGGTCTATAGAGAAATTCTCCCAAACTCGAACAAGGTTTAGAAAACTAGATAAAAATTGGTCGATCTCATTTCGTAAATAACATATATCAATTTTGAAGGAAAAACAAGACATTTTAAATAGATCCCCAGTTTAAACTGTAACAATAATCAAGTGAAAGGATAAAGAAAATTTCACAACAATATACCTTTTTCAAATTTAAGCCATTTAGGAAGGGTGTCTTCCAATGCATTGTCCCATACCAATGCACTGGCAAGACGATCCAACTCATTATCCCATGTAGTTTGGTTCATCCCCTTATCGTGTATGTTGATTGCTTCTCATGAATCTGCCTAACGATTATACCTAGTCCACCAATCACAATCACAATCACAAGCGCTTTATGAAAGGGCGTCTACCATCCTAATGGCAATGACGAGTCCCTTTCCAGAAAAAATATATCATCCCTTGTTCGAACTCCAGTGAACAATAGTGGTCACATTACCAAATGACAATCTACTACAAGTGTTAGGAAACCGTCTCACCTCCACTGAGATAGACTAACCTCTAACACTCTACGGCATCTCTCGATGACAATCCAAGTCCATCACAACAACCATACAAATAAGGAAACCAAAATATTCTTAATTCACCAACAATTTTAAATAATTCTAAAATCCACAATTTCTCATTTTACAAGCATATCTCAAAAATCTCAAAATTTATCATGTGTAACAATTTCAATAACCAATTAGGGAAAAATATAAAAGATCACAACAACATCATTTATTACTCAACACAAAGCACTAAAGTTTTAGAAATCAAAGAACAAATGAATATTGAGAGAAAAATCCATCTTTCATGAGAACAAGAGTTTTCAAAACAAGAATTAGAGGTTTCATGGCAATCCAACCATAGCCTTATTTTAAACATGATAATATTTACAAGAATATCAAGCATCAAAGATTTACTAAGAGATATCAAAGATATATATACCATAAAAAAAATAATATATATATATATATATATATATATATATATATATATATATATATATATATATATATAGCCCTAGCCTCAATGAACAAGAGTAAGAGAAACTCCTACTTGAATCAAAATTTCAAGCAAGAACCCAAACTCTAGTGACCTCCTTCTTCCTTTTTTTCCTTCCTTAATCTTCCTCTAAGGTTCCAAGAGGTGTGGGGTGAGAGTGGAGTGAAGAGAATGAGAGTAAATGAGATGAAAATGGGTTTTTAAACACAGCAGCCTCGATTTTTACTGTTTGCAAACTGTTTTTGGTTTTTCCAAAATTACGGTTTTACCACTAAGAATCTTCAATTTGATTCATATGACTACCCTAAGATTTTTCAACGTTCTGGATTTATTTGTAATGTCATTTTAACCTAAAAATATTTATTTTTATGATTTATTTCAAAACTAAAATAAATTTACACTCGAAACATTAAAATTACTATTTTATTCCTCCATAGTATTTATTCTTACAGTTTCAATATATATGGTTTATTCTTACATCATTACATTTATAAGAATCACTAAATAAGTATATTACTATATTAATATAAACATGTGAGAATTTACACCTTCCAAGTCTAAGAAGAAAACACAACACTTTACCATCCAAGGAACACCACAATACAAATTTTTGATCAATTTTAGAGAATAAACTGATTTGACTCAGGTATTTCTAGTATGCGTGACCTATATGGTTGGAAAGATATACGAGTTAGGGTTCTAACAAAAATAACGGTGTACAATTTGGACTTTTCAACAAATAGTTATGATCAAATTGGTAAAAGGTAGTCTGCCGGACTGCTTGGTTCTTTTATACTTGTCTAACTCGAGTTTGAGTGTCTTTTATCACAAATTCTATCTCATACCCATCTCTAATATAGATAGTATAGCTTGTATAAAGATCCATGTATAGCATCATTCATTAACCAAAATCAAATTACCATCCGTCTTCTAGAATCGTTTATAACAACATGATGTAGAACTAGTATATCCATCAACATTTTTTTTCAATTCCTCTAAACTAGCTAATTGATGAGAATGCAAAATGTCATATTTTTTTTATCTTTTAATATTTAGCCTTTTATACTTATTTGAAGCCTAAATATATTTATTGTTTTTATATTTTGATTTAGGATGTAAATAAAAACGTTGAATGCAAAATGAAGCTAATTGAACGATTATTGATAGTTTAGATATGTGGGGTTTACAAGTAGCAATAGTAATGGTGGTGGTTGGTTTTGAGGTGACGATAATGGTAGTGGTAGCCCTGGGTGACGACGGGTTCTTCTGAGCGATAGTGTGATGAGTGGTGGTGATAGTGGTAGGTGTGGATGACAATGGGTGGCAGTAGTGATGGGTGATGACAGTGGTGGTAGTGATGGGGTGACAGTGATAACAGTGGTGGTGGTGGCAGCGGTGGTGATAGGGGATGATGGTGGGGCGGTGGTGGTGGGACAACGACAGTTGTTGTGGCAAACGTGGTGGTGGGATGGCAGCGGCAGTTGTTGTGGTGGTAGTGGGGGTGGGGCAGGGGGTGGCGATGGCGGTGGGGGTAGTTGTGCGGTGGGGGTAGTTGTGGTGGTGGTAGTGGTGATGGTGGAACGATTTTAAATACTATTTTTTTAAAGTACTTATGAGAAGTTATAAAGTACTTTTAAAAAGTCACTCAAATACACAATTAGGGTCCTATTTAAATTTGAGGTGTTAATATTAGTTGTCGGATTAAATTTAAAGTAAAATTTAAAAAGATCTCAATCGCAAAAAATAAAAGTCATTTTGTTTATCTTTTGAGATTTGAATTATATTGTACTTTATTATATAGACTAATTATTGTCTGTGCCTGAAGGCACATAGCAATAAAAAAATGGTCAACAATAAATATATTTGTGTTCACATCTAAAATCAAATCGCAAAATAGAAGAGAAAGAAAAGAATTTATGCACCGGTTATAGTGGAAGTGAACGATGATAGTGGTGGTGGTGGTAGTGGCGGTGGTGAGGCGATAGGGGGTAGTGGTGGTAGAGGTGATGGTTGGAGAGTGGCGGTGGTGATGGGGTAGAGGTGAAAATTGTGGTGGTGGAGGTGGTGGGGATGGTGGTGGTCGAGCGGTAGGGGTGGTGGTGGGGTGATGATAATAGTAATGACGACAGTGATGATAGTAGGGGCAGTGGTGGTTGTTGTGGTAGAGGTGATGATGTGGTGGCGACGATGTTGATAGTACAGTGGCGCTGGTGGTAGGGTGGAGGTGACGGTAGTGGTGGTGAGTGTAATGGGGATGGTGGTGGTGGGGTGACAACGGTGGTGATGGTAGGGGGTGGTATGGTGACCACAACGATGGTGTTGGTAAGGGGCGGAGGGTGATGGTAGTGGTGGGTGGGGTGGTGACAGTGAAAGTGGTAGTGGTGATGATGGTAAGGAGTAGTTTGGTGGTGGGGTAGGGGTGGTAATGGTGATGGAGATGATAGTGGTAGTGGTAGTGGTGGTGGTGGGGTGATTCCAAACACTATATTTTTTTGTAAAGTATTTATTCAAAATTTTAAGTATTAAAAACACTTTTAAAAAGTCAACCCAAACACATCCTTCAAGGCCTATTTTTCCTATTAAATTGAAAGTGTTAATATTAGCCGTCAGATTAATTTTAAAATAAAATTGAAAGAGATATCAACCGTGATTGAATTGTATTGTACTTTATTATATAGATAATACTCCAACTATACAGCACAAGAGCTGTGCCTCTATTTCTGTTGTCAGTAGTTTGAGCTTTGAGGATGCTTGGGAAAGGATATCATCCCATCGTATAGCCTAAAAAAAGGGGTAGAAAAAAGAAGCATATATATATAGAGATAAAAACTTGTAGGAAAAAATAATAAACTAGTAGATTTTTTTTAATAATGTGAAGTTCTTTTGTGTTGGAATGAAATAAGATGAATATGAAATATCGTATCTCAAACAATCCTAATGATAAGAACTGACAGTGGTAAAAAAATCGAGAGGCATGAGGGAGAGAATTGGCTGGGCTCTTGGTGAGTGTGTCGTGTGTGTAAAAATGAATGAGAATACACAAGAAAATAAGTGGTTTATCTACTGAAAAATTTGATTAATCCACTGTAATTGACACACATGCTCCTTGGTTGTGTATTGATTTCTTAGAGAAGAAGAGTACAATAGGGTTTTTCTCTTACTTTTTGGCCCTTTTTTTACATAGTAATCATTGTCTTTTATAACGGAATATTAGGAAAATATTTAGGGAATATTCAGAGAATGTTTGGTGTGACTTATTGTCCAAGGTATGGATTAATGGTGAAAACCATTTTTTACCCCTTCTGGTAGTTTCTTTATTGCTTGTTGTCTCCTGTATATTTTTCGGTATCATCAAGAACCATATACATTCAAATTTTTTTTTTAAATCTCGTAATGACAGAAATTTCGTGCATCAAAATATATTTAACAACAAAATGTAGATATTTAATGACTTGCTTTCTCTCTTCATTAAAACACACATCCATTCTCACCTATACATTGGGTGATGGATTTGAGACAGGCATCCAAAGGATATGCTTCTCTCGTGGACATGTAAAAAAGGAACCAAGCCTAATGTGTAGGCAAGGCAAATGACAGTGCTCTTTGTGGTACACGCAGAAGATTGACATCTACCAATGAAGTAGCGTGCCTGGTTATGAACTGCATAGAGAAAATGGGGTTCCTAAAAAGCCCTGCTGCCCATATACAATAATTGTAGCAAAACCTGTAATTTAGCAAAATATAAATCTCTGATTTTTCAGTTAAAAGTTTCTTCTACAAGATGAGCACCAACGTAGAACATCTCAACATCACACTGCAGAATGCAACAACTATTAGACCTTAAAAACTACGCTACGGGCGAGGAAAAATTTCTGGGTGAGGAAGAACACTTCCGACAGAGATAGAAACAAAAGGCAGCATAAGGTTAGCCAAACAGCAATCAGATCAGACCCAGTCTGCATCAAATATATACACAAAACAACATACCTTGCCATTTGTACAAGAAGAGAAACTCATGGAAGTACAAAAACTAAGATGGACTAGGAAAAAAAAAACTAAGGGATCTAAATATATGCATAAATTCAAGAACTAATGAAATACACAGCTACTCAACTCTCCCCTCAATACAATCTTCACATCAAGCAGAAAATTTAGATATAACATCTAGAAAGCTTAGATGATCGGCAACATCCACCCCACGGTCCACCCCAAGAGCAAACCGGCACCAACAATACCCAACCCCAATGCAAAAACAATAGCATATTTGCTAATATCACATCTAGGACGGTCACACTGGGCTCGTCTTCCCTTGGCAGCTTTCTGCCAGCTCCTCCGCATTTTTCTAGTTTTAAGAGGCATCCATGGTAACACCACTGGAAATATAGTGGATATCGGCTGGCTTCTATTGTTCTTGATCTGGAAGTATAGATTTTCTAGCCGCAGAAGTTGGAACCACTGCTTATAGGCAAAGAGGTATGATGCTTGTCTGAAAAAGAGCTTGACAACATGTTCTTTCTCTGCATAGGCTTTCGTTGCTGCATTCTCAGCTTCCCTTGCACGTGTTTGAGAATGGCGAAGTGCTTCCAATAGCTGAGCTCTGCTAGGATCGCTCTCTGACATCTGTGTTTCAGTCACAGCTTTGTCGGCTGTGCATTCACTGTTTCTCATTCAAAAATTACAACCAGGATAAAATCAAGGGTCTATATCTTTCCATTACAGGAGAAAGGGAAACTAAAAGGAGGATGGGGGAACAAAACTTGTATGATCTATACATGGCATTAAAGTTTTTGGCATCCAAACTAAAACAGTAGCAATCTGAAGAACTTGGGAAAAATGATTGGCTTTCAGAGATTAGAAATCTGCAGGGGACTTGATGGGTTTTTTTTGTTGGCATAATTGTGCTAAGAGAGGCTAGGCAGACTCAATCTAAAAGCTATGTTTCTTTAGTCACATTCCACTCAAAAACTACATTTCTCAGGCTTTAACATTATATTGGATTTCCTATGCCAAAAGCAACACATCAAAGTTGTTTGTAAATATTCTGTATGCTTTGACCACAAATTTCTGGCTTGAAAATAATCAAACAACAAAAGAAGCTAAATGGATAACACAACTATATTCATTTTAATTTTTCAAACAATTACCTCACTAAATGGGAAAAACCAGATAGACTGATAGAGTACATTAGCACGAAAAGATAGAGCTGAAGTGGTGGAAATAGAAAATTTGGACAATACCTGATGGGTCTCTCAGTACCAGATTGTGAATGCCCTTCAACTGAGGCCAATGGTTTTCCATATGCACTCCATGAACAGAGATTGCCCCATGTATGAACAGTTTGGTTGGGATGACCACCAGATTGGAGCTTCCCACATATGGGAGAGGAAAAAGTCTCTTTAGAATCAGAACACCAAAAATGCGCATATGGGTCCCTCTTAACACTTGTGTTCTGAGGCTGAGGAAGATCACAATTCTCAATAAGGTCAAATGATCTCTGTGCAACCAACAAAGCCAATTCATCCCTATCTGCTGTGCGCCACCATGGTTCAGTTTTGGCACCCCCAATCCAAGTACAATCAGGATCCATAGAAAACACATCGGGTTGTTTGGAAACTGAGCAACCAACAGAATCCATTTCCATTAGTACAAAGGATTCGTCCATGTCCGGAAGCTCAAGAGGATCTTGGGAAATCTTAGTGTTCACATCCTTTTGCTCTCGCTTTCTGACCCTGGAATCTTTTTTCATACAAGTTGCAGAGCTTCTACAATGATTGTCAAGGAAGAGTTCAGCATTCATGTTGTCATCAGAATCTCCACCATCATCCTCATTCTGCATGCAGACATTGCTAACTTTGCCAGTTTCATTTGTTAAACCCCTTTGGTACCCATAATCAGGATGAATCTGGAGCCACCACCTAGATTCCGGGGAGAGATTAGAATATGAAGGTTTCTTGTCAGGGGGAAGGAAACCCGTGGTAGGAGTATCTTGCCCATCTGCTGCACTTGCACCTCCTGCATCAACCTGTTTGGATGATGGAGATGCGGAAGGGCAGCAAGCTAATTTTGGAGCTCTTTTGGCATCTTCTTGGACGAAGCATCGATTAGCTGTTCTCTGCCAAGCAGCCCTTGCTTCTGCTACCGCCATTAGTTACCCATTCTTCAGCCCATGTGACTAAGTATAAGACGAATTTCTCAGAACACAACGGAATCAACACAAAAGGACAAGTTTTAATGTTAATGAAGTGAATCTTTTCATGTCTTATTTGATAACATCAAATCCAGAATTAAGACAACGACCACCAAAACATGGAGAAATTCTGCGTCATCACTGCCACATGGTGTCACCATTCAATAAAAAAACAAGTGAGCAAGTGAATCCCACATAATTTAATAACTACTCTTCTATGTAATTTAATAACTGCCCCACTTCTTAACTATATCCATTTGATTGTTTTTTATTGGATGGTGAGATCATGTGGTGGTGATGACATGGTGTCATGATTGCATTGAATATTTTACCACAAAACATGAACCAAATTAGAAACTTGAACAAATGATTATCTTCCCTGACTATAGCAAAAAAAAAAAAAAGGACATACCAACAGCCCCACGTGAAGATGAGAAGTAATCTTGACGTGGGCAATCTTTACATTCCGACACTCCTTCTTGAAGACTCATGGCCACTAAATGACTTTTCATCATCTACCTCCCCACCCCCCAAAAAAAAAAAAAGAGAGAGAGAGATTCCATCCCTAAAACTTAGCAAGAGGGAGAAAATTGGAAAGGTGAGTGAATTGAATTGCATCAAGTAATTTAGAACTCAAGCACTCAACATATCTATAGTTCTATAGCTCAATAGGGTGTAATAGCCATATGCATTGGGATTTTCTAAAGACAAATTAGCTGAGGCAAAGGTTCATATCAATACATCATCTTCCTATGTACAGGTACAAGAAGATGAGCCTTCTCATACTTCGTTTGTCATTCAGGTAGAGCTCCGACACAAGATGAACCACATTTGTGAGCCCAGGGGTCCAGGAACCAATTTAAGCTGTACAACTATACTGAAAATGATCTAAAAACACACCACACAGCATGTTTGGAAATTTGAATGATAGCGCACATTCCCTAATGAAACCATCCACACCTTCACTGTTAAGTGAAAATCACTACGGGTGACAAGGGCAATTATATAGGTTACAACACCCAATGCAAGAAAGCCAACACAAGAAAGCAGCGAATCATTATGCTTAATCAGGTAGATTTGGGCAATCGCTTAAAACTGACAAATCAATGGTGAAAATCAACCAGAAAATTAAGTTAAATTTATAATTATTGCACTGCATATCCAGGTAATTCCAGCTAAAAAGTTGTAAATAAAGTGACCCTTTTGAAATCCTGCAAAGAAGCAGGGGCAGGAGAAATCTTCTTACGTAGATATTACCTTTACAAACAATTACCGAAAGGTTCAGAAACTTATATGAGAGTATAACACATACGTTTATGGTAATTGTCATTTCTTCTTGAAGTACATACCAAACCAACAGATTCGAAATCATTATTCACAAGGCCAAAAATTATCATGAATCATCAAATCAGATCCACAGCAACCAACACCAAATTTAACCAAAACCCAAATCCCAAGTTCCCAACATCTTTGCACTCAACATGATGGGAATTATTAAAATGATAATCATAACAGATACAAATCCATTTAACCATAACCAACTGAAAAAAGTAACAAATTCACCAGAAACAACAAGAATTAAAACAAAACAAAACAAAAATTCTCGTAATCAAAGCACTTCTAAAAACAGGTGGTTACACAAAGGTGTTTATATGAAACATACCCTCTTCGCCAGAAAAGTTAATCACCTTATAAAATATAAAAAAGTAAAATGAACACAGATTAAGAAGAACAAAAAAGAGGAACCAAGGGATAATTTAATATATAAACACTCAGCATACGTCTATATCTTGAGATAAAAGAAAAAGAGATGGACCTGAAAACGAAGAATACCAGGGATAATTTAATTGAATGAGATTGAGGAGAGAAATGGGCAAGTGGGTACAGATCGGACTGAGTGATATCGTTCAGAGAAGCATTATTTCTTCGGTTCCAAATACTCAAATCCTTCTCAATCTTGTGTCAGAGACAGAGAGGAAGACCCCCATCTTGTATTTCGGTTATCATTTCTTTTATGTCAGTTTATGCGTCACAAATTCATGTGCAACGACGCCGTTTGCCTGCAGTTTTTTTTCCCGCAAAAGAATGCTTCTCTCCATAAACGCCGTCGTATTGGATGGACCTCCCAGTTATGCTTAGTTATATAAAAAAATATAAGTAATGTTGAACCGACCAAATTTATGAACCAAATGACACGGTCTTCTTTATGTGGTGTCATATTATTTGAAGCCCAATAAAGACTCCAAATAATCAGGTGCTATGTAATTTGGGCTCTTTATTTGGTTAATATAGCATTACTAAATATATATATATATATATATATATATATATATATTAAAATACACCTCTCAATCCGCTTATACGTGGCCGAATTATAGAAGATAATGTCAGTTATAAGCTTGTACGGTTAGTTAGACGATTTTGGTTGAGTTTGGAAGAAGAATGCATAGTTTTGAATAGAGCAACCGTTGGTTTCGATAACTAACAACTTGAATTTTCTTATTTAATGTTTTAATTTGAGCCTCTTCATTTGTGATATTTCGTTAGTATTAAAACTATTTTGACATAAGTGTGGCGAAGTCTTTTGTAGACTACAAATAGAACAATGTTACAAAATTCAAATAAAATTTAAAAAATTATAATTTTTTTGGATGAATTGGTCACATCAATTTTTTCAATTATTTTACACTCATTTAAGTAATGATATACATTTAAGTTTTAACTTTTAAATTTCATTTGAGTTATTTCACGTGGAGCACTGGAAAAAAAAAATCAACAATGATATCAGATTTTTTTGATACCATATTAAAAAAGCTTATCAATTATAGATTTTTATCTTGATTTCTTAACAATTATTTAAAAATTTAATTTCAACTTTTTAATATTGTAATCGGTTTTTTTTATTTTTTATTTTTTATTTTTTGCTTTTATGAAGAAATTGGTGGATTTTGATATTTGTAGTGATAAGAACTACACATACTGAAAGAGACATTTCGTAGCTACAGTTCAAATCAAAAATCATATTTTCAAAGTTGTGTTCATCTAGTGGTGGTCCATTAATGTCGACAGGATACCATAGTATTAGTATATGAGGGCAGAGACCTCAGCAGCAAGCCTTGTCGTGGACTTCTGTAATGCTAATGCTCTTCTTTTAACAAGACGTATCAAGTCAACAAACCACAATTACTCACTCGGCATTTCCTAAGAAAATTATAAATAAGTACTAATATAAACAAAATCAAACATTTTTTGTACCCTTTCCGACCGACCACCTTGTTATGATCCAAAAACCACCACTTGTCCAATTATAATAAGAATTCAATAGGATTATGTTGATATAGCCACCATTAATTCTCTTGGATCATTTAGACTTTAGATTGTGACATTTGTTATTCCATGTTAAAAAATAATAAAAGATAATTTATTTGTTGTCTCTCACTCTTGTTGGCTTTCCTTAACTTAACTGCTCAAAATCAATTGTATATGCTGTACAAATTTTTAATTTTTAAATCGATTGAATTTTTTTGCTCTTTATTTTTATTTTTTGTAGAGTGTAGCAAATATCACATGTTCCTTTTTTATATTATTATTTATGAAACTAGATTCAAACTCCCCTTTTGGCTTTTTGGCAAAAAAAAAAGTCTGGCTTAGAAATCAATGTACAGATTTTAGGTGTAACCCACAGAAATATATAATCGTTCATTAAACAGGATGAGCACACGGGGTGGGCAGTAGGCAATGGAAATCCTTGTGGAAGCAGAAATATCTATACTACTATACAATAAATAGTGTGGCGCCCACTGAACCATCTTTGGGTCAGGCTTACGTGGAAGATAATTGTAGAATGGAAAATACGTGATATTACTATAATAGCAAAAATTTATTTAAATTTAAAATATGTAAAAGTGAAATCAACAATACTATTATAATAATGTCACATTATTTAATTTATGTTTTATTTAGTCTAGCATTACTCTAATCTTTTTAAATCTCATGATTAGATTAGGAATTTGACTTGGATACCAATGAGACACAATATTGAAATTTACAATTTTTCTAGATTAAAAAACAAAATCTTAAGGTTTAATTACAATTAAAAAATTTTAAAATCGTTAAATTTCATTTGCTAGCATTGATACGGAGGTTTTCAAAAGTCTCTACAAAGGGGTTCTGTAAACGAACATCAGACGTTTTATCATCATCATCTTTAGGAGAGAAGTAGATGGGTGGTGTTTAACTCTTGAGGCCCTACCTGTTGTTTGTACTAGATGGTATGGTGTGACATTTTATCGAACCACCAGGTCCTACGGTAATTATCAGGCGAACCTAAGTAGGTGCAGATAGTCCTGGCCAAGTCCATGTACTAGATTCGAAACTTATCATAGAATAATCTCCCAAGTACAGGAGAGGTATAGACAATCCTCCTCAAAACTCGATCCCTTTTGCTCTCCCCTCGCTCTCTCTGTCTCTCAACATACCTTATTCCCATAAAACCAGTTTAAACAACTTGCAATATTCTCAACCGACTCTTGATTAAAAAAACAAATAAAGGCAGGCCGGTCCAACTTTGACCAACCATGTCTATGGTCATATCATGTAGTACTTCATTTTGATCCAAATCAAGGGTAAACGACTAGATCAAACTCCACATTTTGGGAGGCCCATGGATTGAATCAGTACGGATCCGGAAAGAGCAAACCCAAAATGTACATATCTTTTTCCCCCCAAAGAAATACATAGTTTCAAACAGGTTAGAGAAGTAGCAATAAATAACCAATTGCTTTATAACACAATACAAATGAACAACTAAAATCAACGAAACCTCGTATCAACTGTTTTCTGTTAGCTATACAAACGCATTTCAGTGATTCAACTTCCAATAACCCATATATCCTAGTAGCCAAAAAAGGATCACACATCAATGTAAGATGCTCTAGTCAACAACGCTACAAATGAATACGGAACTCTCAAAAATGCAACTCTGCAAAAGGAAGACTTCAAAAAGGAGATAACATGAAGAGCCACGGCTACCAGTTCATGGGTCGCTTTAATCTTTCCAAAGACGACCTGCTACACAACTCTAGAAAGAATATTTCAAGGCTCAAATTTTTGGCTCATGCAGGAACTGAAGTTTTAAATGTGGGCCAAATCAAGTCCATTTACATTTGTCCTTTCCTGACTGAGAACTTTCAATAGGGGAGGAAATGGTATGGGTTCTAGAACAAAATATATCGTTCCTTATGGCTTCCTGAATTATTTGCAAAAAGGTGTGTTCAAAGCTAGCAGCCAATCCTTTCTGACTTCAACAGCAAGAAAAACAAGTATGTCCGCAACATACATGTGCTTATGATTGGGTAATAACTGGCACACGGATGCACTGTACATCAGAATTCTTGACGGCTTTTTTGCATTCTGAAGTTCAAATTGGCAATTTTCTCTGAGTTTCAAAAGAACTTGGTGATGACCTATTCATATTCCCTGTGAAAATCGTTAAACTGAACCAATTTTACAGAACCGTCTCCCCCACATGTAAGAAAACCATGGGAAACAACTTGAATATCTGTAACAGCAGCCTGCAACATTTAAATAAGTTGGTGCTTCAGTTCATGCGAGCAGCTAAACTCAATATATGCTGCCAAATAGAATCACATTCACAACGTGAGCATGGGCATGAACTTGAACTAGCGATTGAGTGGCGAAAAAGATTACCCGGACAACTCCACTGAATCCACGTGACCTTGGTTGCAGAAAGGTTTGTCTTTCATGCAATTTTGGCCAATGAACTACTAACTTGGCTCTCTTGGCATCCCAAAGTTTGACATCTCCATCTTTGCTTCCCGTCAAGAAAAAACTGGTATTTGGAATAGTAGATATTTTGGTGACACTCCCTTCACAAAGATCAATTGAAAAATTAGAACCAATTTTATATACTCGGTCATTATCACATCGATAACAATGGTGCAGTACCTGAGTGAGCCTTTGGAATATACCAAAGCATCCCATTTGCATTTTGATCCCCAATTCTGTTCCCTGACTCAGCAGTAGTTTGTTCACCACAATCAGAAAGCCTATGTCTCTTTGACCTTCCAGTTGCTATATAACGGAAGTCATGTAGTCCAATATCGCCACCTTTTCCACCAGTCACAATAAGGGGAGAAACAGAACCACTGCCTATGTCACTATCAAACACAGAGAGGGAGCAAGCACCGCCTGAAAAGACGCGGGATGCAATATATCAAGATGCAAGCCATGCCAGTTAGGGCTAGGGATCACATTGTCCCAGTACGTAAACTTTTAAGGACTAAATTGACTATATTGAAATGTTAGGGACTAAGTTTAATAAGTGGTAAACTTTGGGACTACTGGTGCAATTTACACTTTAATTATTTGCAAACTGTGGCTACATTAGATTCGAACACACAGCGTTGTGATTGTTGGCCCAAGCATTTTATAACTGTAGTAGACAGTGAATCCAGATTACTACGGTCTAATATTTTTTTTTGGAAGGGGAGAGAGGGGGAGGAAGGACTTGAACCCTTGACCTCAAGAAGGCTTTCCCTTCTTGAGGTCTAATATATGGGCTAATTTATGAACAAAAAGGTTGAGGTCGTATGATTAAATTTTGTAACTAACTTTATTGATGTTTTTGTAAATTATACAATTTACATTTTGTGGTAAGCTACTTAATAAAATAACATAGCTATATTTCATTTTTGGTTTTCCCTTATGGTGCGTCCGTTAGCTGGTTTACTTGGTTCACCTTATCTTTAAACTTACGTTTTAGATTTCATAATTTCCACAATACCCATATAGCGTTTTGGTTATGCCAAAAATCTCCTTTACTGTTTATATTAGCATTATAAAACCACTAGTCCATTAGCTAGATCACACGCTTCTTTACTTACATTAATATAAACTTGCTTCCAGTCCTACCACACTAATCGTCTCAGAAATTGTATTTCCCCCATGACAAGTCCTCATTCATATTATTGAGAAATAAAAAAATTTTAAAGCACAAGAAAGAACAAGTAACAAATTTTGCAAACAGATACATAACATGTTATACAGAAGCAAACCTTCATGACACATGATGGAAGCTTGAGATGTCGTTGGAGGAGCAAGAGTATCCCATATAACCACATTAACACCATTGGAGCTGTACCCAGCTGCAACAATTATTGATCCACTAGAGGTAACATAACTTACATCCCTGAAACCATTACTACAATAAGTTCTTGAAGAAAAATAAAGCATAAAGAATTACACAAGTTAGCAATTGACAAAATTCCCCTGGTAAGCGAGTTGGGGCTGTTTACAATCTCATTGTGGCAAAAGAAGTTAATCTAAGCCACTAGCTGTCCAGATACAAAAACACATCTCATTGGGTTGAAAATCTTAATCTCAAGCATCATCATCTTTTCTCTTGGAACATGACTCAACAGGTTACCCTTTTGAACGATAACTTTATATATATAACACACAATTTGGCACCTATTTTAGTGGTGGATTACAACCCAAGATAAATAAAGGGAATTGGTACAGTCCGACGTCAGACTATCCAGGAATAGCCCCGAAGTATGAAAATTCAGCCTATGCAGAAGTGATGAAGGGAGAGGCAGTTCAGTCCAGGATATCATAACACTAAAATCCCACACATTTCACGTTCCTTATCAATCAAACCAATGCACAATGAAAGAAAGGGAGTGGGGAGGAAATTATCGAAACTTCCACTAAAAATAAGGCAAATGAACTTCTATTTGGACAGGAAAACTAGCTGATTTAACAAACAATTAATTTCTTATCTCAACTCCACCCTCAGCTATCAGTTAATTCTGGAACCAACGCAGCCAAATGGAAATAGAATTTTACATATGACTCATATATTTAGGTTCACAAAAGTACATACGCTGCGTGGTTGTTAAAGCAGATAGATGATTCTGTTGGATGAATGTTGCTTCTTCCCCCCACCTCAAGCTGCCACGCACATACAGTTCCATCTAATGCAGCAGTTGCGAATCGATGACCACAGTGGTCAAAGTGCACAGCTGATATTGATGCAAGAGCATATAGCGGAGGGAAATTTGAGGCAGGAAGAATTCCATACGTTGCACTAGCTTTATCCTTACCAAACTGCACATATCACAGGCCGAGTTAGCTGCCATATCTGTTCCAACAACAGATGCAATACCAACTACAATATAGCAATTAGAAAGTACAAAGCCTGATTTAGATGTGATGACCCCCTATACAAGACCAAAGCTGGTTGGCCTTTTTTTTGAATTTTTTATAGGCTTTTCTCAGAAATCAAACACACACCCGCACACGCAAAAACAGAGAGGAACTGGCAATTGACAAAAAGATTTCAAAAGAGTAAAAGTTAAAAGCAGTTTCCAGCTCTGATGAAGTTCGGCAGAAACGTCAACAGGAAACTTCCAGAGTCGAGAAATGTAATCACTATATGAAAGAAGACTAATTGCATGCCTTATGCCTATAATAATGATATTCACATGGAAATTTCTATACCTCCCATAAGTATATGTGTGTATTGCCAGAGCCAACCAAAAAGAAAGGCCTAAAAGGATGACTGGAGAATGCCCTCGTACTAATATTTTCTGCAGTGGCGGGTGGATCAGCAAACTCCTCAAAATCCTCTTGAATGCCCCAACCAAGGCCAGAGGCACCAATGCCAGCATAACCTGGTATTCCAAAAGCTCCACCACCCGTTAAGTCTCTTCCTGGTCTTGCTAGAGGAGTTAGACCAACGGTTGCTCCACCCAATCCAAGATCAACCCCAGGAGAAACACATGTAGGAACGGGGGTAGATTCAGATCCTGCCCACCCATTCTGTGGCCAATCTGCCTCTGCCCAGATATAGTCGGATTTATCGCTGAAAAGTAGCCCATCTCCCCAGTTGAAAAACAGTATCCCCTGAGTCAGACATAATATTGCACCATACATGATTGGGATATACACAATTCAATAAGTGCAATGTCGAAAGATCATTAAACAAAGAAACATGAATATTATTGGACAAAGGAGACAGATTTTTGATGAAACTAAAGTCATATTACATTCCAAAGCAGCCACTAGAATTGTCCTATTCATCTAAAACTACAATACCCTACACAAGCAATGCGTGTGGAGGCAAGAAAAAGAAGGAAGAGAAGAGGGGGGGGGGGAAATAATTTCTCTCGTCAAAATAACAAAGCTACACTTAAATGGAATTGTTTTGAAAGGTAACACTAGCATTTACTATGTTAGACGCCAAGAGAGCCAAACTCCTTTTCTCGCTTAATATAGCAATATTAAATTGTTTCAGGAATAACATTTTGTCTGCCCAGTAATTCCCCCTTATTGAAGTCACGATGGAAAATGGTTATCAAGAAAATTACAACATAAAAAAAAACTGAGCCAACAACTGGAAGACATACATGCTTCAATTTTTTTAATCAGCTCTTAAATACTCCCAAATCCGTCTTCACCCAAATATAAGGACTAAATCTCCTGAATTAATTGACACTAAAATGGACAGTACTCCATGGGTTTCGTCACTCTGGAAAATTGCTCAAACAACTCTTTCAACGCTCACATCACATTGGTAACTGGTTACCTTTAAAGTATTTTTTGTAGGAAATCTCTCAATCAAAATATGGTGTATTATCATGACAAAATCAATAACAAAGGAGGAAAGTTTGAATACTTAAAACAGGATTAAGATTCAAAGAAACACTAGAGAAGAAAAGGATTTCAAATAAATAAATATATGAGAGCTTGAAGATTGGCAAGAAAAAAATAAATACCAATCAGTTTTCAGTTAAATGTATTGTCACTGACACTGGCCTATCCCCATACAAAGACAAGTTTTAGAAAGCTATTCAGGGGCCGCAATCATACATGAAAAACTTGCAGTTCTCAAACAGTTGAAATTTGAAATAGATAGACCAACAATTGTCTTTGCTCTGCACATAACTTTCTAAAGTTAAAAATTCAAGTGCAAACAGCTTTTGATGCCAAATGGAAAGGATAGTATTAGCCCTTCAATTTCAATATCGTAATTACTTACAATAATCTATCAGTGTCACTGTTTCAAAAAGGTTAGATTCTAGTTATTACTGTTTAACATTTAAACAGTAGATATTTAGTCAGTAGCTAAAACAATATGGTTATTGTCCGCAAACAGCTTGCTTCTCATTGGAAGGCTACAATGCTAATAAGGTGAAAAATGCAATCACAAACCTCACTGGAAAAAAAGAACAATCTACAAATAAGAAACTAAGCTTTCAGCAGGCACTTAGACTTAGAGCATCAATTACGTCAGAGAAAAGCAAAAGATTATGCACAGACTGACCTTTCGGTTGCTAGCAAGTGCTGCCTGCTGTTGATAAATAGAGTTGATACACAATGCCTGCTCCAATAAAAAGTATCAAATTACTATCGAATTCACAATGAAGCTTTACCGATTTCTGTAATAAATTTCAAAGTAGCAACCACTGACAAAGAAAAATGAAAAGGAGAAGTACCTCCAGCAGTTCTCCATTCCTCTTGCAAAGTTCTTTTGGGGAATGGAAAGGCATAAATTTCTTTGTAGCCATTGTACCCTTCCAGCCGGAACTTAGAAAAGAATGACGTTCTGTAGAAGTTTCCTTACGGGCAATACTATTGCCCGGCCTACCTTCTTGATCACAAGTTTCCTCAACTTCATGCTCTCCCATGAGGCTAATATATATGTTGCTCCACCCATTAAAGTGCTTCGGCATAATATACTGTGACCACTTAGTATCCTCTTGTGCAAGACCATCACATATAATTTTTGGATCAGCACAGATATCCCATAAAATTTTAGAATCTGGGAATTCGTTTTCATAGTTCATCATGTTTAGACTGTCAATTCCCCCACTAAAATGCTTATGGGGGGCGCTGGGTTGAGACTGACCAATTTCTTCCAACGACAAAAGAGTTCGTGTACTCAGTCCATCCTCAACTTTCTGCTGCATGCATAATGCAAGATGCTTTGCACGATAAGAAGGTATATGTGCACATGTGGTCTTCAGTAACCTAGATAAAACCACAGAAATAAGCATGATCTGTGCCTCTATATTAATGCCCTCAGGTTCAGAATTATCAGAATCAGACACAAAGGAGGAAAGTCTGCATGGAGGATGAGATAAGTAAATCTCTACAAGCTTCTCAGGTAATGAATTCAACTGATAATTTAGAAAACCAGACATGTGGCCCCATAAAGAAACCACTCTTATTTGCCATCTCAGGTCTTCTGGTATTGAAGAAATTATAATTCCACTTTGTTCATTTTGAATCGGTTTGGTCATCTGAACTGTGTCACCTACATCATCAATCAATGCATCGTGAGCCAATGACTCTGCAACTTGGGGAAGGAGTTCATTCAAATCTGCCATGCTGATTTTATACCGAGGATGCCCATTCGTAGATGTGCTCAAAATAGGTTTCACTAAAAGAACTAGACCTTTATAATTCCTATGGAGCCAAGCTGATGCAAAATATACAAAATATTCCCACAAATCAAGAATGACAAAGGGTGTTCTGATGAAATCATTGGCACAGGAACCAGTGAACAACTTCAATGCAGCTCTTAAATTCCAAAACAACCCTATGAGACCCTGCATGTGAACCCACCAAGAGGCCAAGCAGCCAATTTTTTTTCCACCAGCCACACTACTTTCTGTTGAACATAATTTAAACTGAGAGCAAGTTATGCCAGACACAACAACATATCTTGAGAATAAATTGGATATTTCTTCAGCATCCTTTAGAAGTAGCTTGAACTGGGTATGATGTAAGGGGAAACCACCAAATGCATTGCTTTTACTGTGTGAAGGATCTTTCGAAATATAGCCTTGCATTATCCGGTATCCAATAAAGAATAAACCATTGTTGCGTAGATAAATTACAATCTGTAAAATAAAGAAAAAGAAGAACAACTGAGTCCCACTAGGACAACAAGATAGAAACGCAACAAAGTACCAGTGACAAGATGCGTAAACGAGGTTGCTGAATACCATGTTCATTAGATGAAGAGGAATCAAAGAAAACTTCTGCTCAAAATATGCAATTCCTGCAAATAATTTCTGCTGAAAATTTTCTAATGATATCTTTTCCTTGCACTCAGAATATGTATGTGCTCCAGGAGATGAAATAATGGTGTCACGCCAGCTTGGATGCTCCATTAATAGCTTCGAGATGTACTGCATTGCTAAATCTAGTTTAACAAGTGACTCCATATGAGAAGCCACATCATCGGAAATCCAGTTAGAGAAGGAATTATTTGGAGATGGCTTCAGCATTTTGCTTAGAAGTTCAGCATTTCCAGTATCTGATGCACTTCCTTGATCTGGACCGCCAAAAATGCCCAGAGAATATGAAAGGCATTCCAAAGCTTCAAGCTTACGGTAAGTAAAAGAAACAGATCAATTATAATTCCTAATATATACAAGACATACAACTCACATGAATATAGAGAGTGAGAGAGAGAAAGAGAGAAGAAATAAAAGTACACTTCCTATAATTTCCTTTTGTTATTCTGTCATTGAGTGGCATGAATGTGCATATAAAACCATCTCAAAAATATATCAGTTCTGTGGCATGCAATTTGCACATAAAGCAATCCCAAAAAAAGATCAATTGAAGTCCCCAAAGAAGCGCAAATCCAAAAGACTTTCTGGGAAGGGAAAAATATTAAATTCTCAATTTCAATCACCAACTATAAACCCATGCTTTAAGCCCAGAGGGCATGGATCATAATCCCTTAGATGTCATGTTGTTTAAACATTTTCCTCCAAAATGTTCCCATCTAATCAGAAGGTTCTTTTTTATTCCCGCTTTTTTCTCTTCCTGTCTTTTCTTTATTTATCTTTTTCTCTCTTTTTTGTTTCCCTTTAGTTTTGTTTGATAGGCAAATGAGTCATTCAACAAGGGGAAGATTACAGAAAGAGCAGGAAATCCTTCAAAAGGAAAAGAAATCCCACCACAAAAGAGAATATCTTCAAGTCATCCACAAGGATAATAGAGAATGTTAGAGATTCATACATTTCAAATCAAGATTCGATCGAATCCCACCATAAAAGAGAAGGTTGTCATTGCCATGAACAGCATAAACTTTAGGAAATTATTCACAAGTTAAAACTATGCATGATCAGATAGATTGTAGACTATTAAAAAAAACAATACTTACATTGATTTCCAACTTAGGAACTAAAAGAAACATCTGCTACTACACATATTAAAGAATCATTGGTAAGATTAGGGACTGTTAAGAACTATTAAAATAGTGTATTGAAGAATTTTCAAACAAAGTTAGGAAATATTAAGAAACAGAATAAAAAAGAGCCTTTTGCTAAGACTAAACAACTAAGAAATATCCTTCTATTTCACCTTCGAAATGATACAGATGATGTCACATGCAATGAGACAAAAATGTGATCAGAATGATTAGAATATCTCACAATTCCAGCAGCGAACTACATGCGTAACCATAATTCATAGAGCAACAGTACTATATATAATAACCACAATTCACAGAGCAACAGTGATACATAGAAAAACTTACAGGAAGGCCACATCTCTTTAAGGCAGTGGCACTCATAAAAATTGCCCACATAGTGAGGATTGCTGCATTGTGCTCTCCTACAGCATTTTTCATGCTATTTTTGTTTGCCAACATTAGGCAATACTGACCAATACTTGGATCTAAAAAGGAAGCATGATTAGATAAGATGGCTGACTTATCAGTTGGAGATTCCATTTGAACACCAAGCATGCGCATAAAAGCTTGGGAATAATTCCCTAATACCCACTGCAATTAACAGAGAATTAGATAAGTTAATCAGACACCAATGATCAATCAGATGCCATAAATAAACTTGAGATAGCAGATCTTGTATTTAAGCACCTCCAGAAAACTTGCAAGCCAGTAGTCGCGTCGTTCAATTGCAGAAGGAAGCATAAACTTTGATACTAGATGACGCTCTAATGATCCACCATACCCCTCAACAAGGCGACAAATTACAAGTGCAAGCTGCTCATCCCCAAGATTTTTTGCACAAACAGTAATAGCGGAAGAAATATCACCGCCAAGCAAAAAGAAAGCACTAGCCAGCTCCAGTTGATGCCGGCCCAATAAGACGTAAGCGTTTTTCAAAGCAGCTGCCTTATTTTTATCCTCCTGTAACACGGAGTTAATGTGACTGCTCATTGAATACAACCAATATAAGAATCTTAATCCACCTTATCTGGCTAGGAAGTCAACAGCATCATATGCATAATCAGCAGAATGCAATCCACAAACTTGGGGAAATATATACAAAGTTACTTGAGGATTTATGTTAGTTTTTGCATTTAGGCTCCCACAACCATAGATAAGATTCAATTCGAATAGGAAACAAAGGAAATCACAACGAAATCCAAAACAAGGGTATTCTTCAACTAGATGCCTTATTTTGACCTCTTGTACCAGTGAATCAATGTGATCACTCAATGAAGACTGAAGAAAATTTTTATCCTATCACCTTAGGCTATAAATCCACAGCATCAATGCAACATGCACACAATGGGCAAAATGTAAACCACAAACTTTGAAAAGTAATCCACGAACTTGCAAAAATAAATGTAAAGCTGGGCTAATAATCTTACTTTCTACATTTTACTTCCAATAAAAGAAGAAATGAGAAAAAATCCAAGAAGTTTACTAAAATTCTATTTCTAGAGGTTCAATGAAAGATCCACAAAAATGATCAATGACTTAATGTACTCGAATCCAAAATATTACCCATTCACACAGTAATTAAAACTCTCAGATTATATTCAAAAAAATCAATAAACAACTTAGTATCCTATGAATTCATATGTACCTGAAAATTGCGTGAAATGAATCCCACCAACAACTTATCCTTGTCATCTTTACTGATTTTAAAAAGACCAGCCAAAACTTGAAGCCTGTTTAATGCTATATAAAGAAGTGCACATTCCTTAGGATCCCTATTCTTCAAGTATTGTCGTCTTGCCAACTTCTCCATCTACAATAAAACAGGGAGTCAAAGTTGATAAAAAGGCAGTTTGCAATTACTATTTGCAGAAATAGAAGCCTGTGAAATGTGTGACAATTACGTCAATTCTTAATAAGATGGCATGCACACTGGCAAAATATATTAACCTACTGATGCGTAAGTGTACATAGCCATATATATAAGAAAGTAATCGAATGCAAGGCCCTATTCTTTTTCATAACTGAAAATGCTAGGTTGAAATATATATTGATGTTGCTGTAAGAAGCATTTTATTCAATGAGTAAGTTATTATTCAAAGAAGGAAAAATCAACTTATTAAAAGATGAGATCAATTCAAATGCACTTTATATTCAATATTTAAGATCAGATATAAAAAAAATATAAATATATATGGCAGACCGAATTCCATTGGTCTAATCCAGGACCTTAATCAAAATCTATCCAACATCTACAGCATGAAACATGAGTCCCTATATGGTTTAACTAGAGTATTCAAATATATCAAGGAAAGCAAACAGGAACAATAATATTTTGAAATAAAAGCAAAACATAACCAAATCTGATGAATCGAGTGAGATCAAACAAATGATCAAGTATATCACTTGCATACTACTACACAAGCACCTCATAAAATGTATTCTAGAACAATATCCCCCCCCCCCCCCCCCCCCCCCCAAAAAAAAAAAAAGCACCTAATGAATATCGTCTACCAATTAATACAAGCCCAAATGCAGGGGAGAAAGATGGAGAGAGCGAGGGAACAACTGACAAAAGATTGCCTTTAGTCTTCTCAATTTCAACCAAGCAGCAGCAAGAGGAATAAATGATTAACAACACATATAGCAAAATCAAAAGCACATGCACTGATGCACATAAGCAAATTAGAGTGGGTTTTGCAAGATTTTACATTTCTAAAACAAAAAAAGGCAACAAAATTAGCTCCTAAGAGTACCTTCAATCGCAACAGCCCTACATTTGTATACCAAAATCCAACACCCATATTCCTCATATCTTGCCAAGATGGTTCGCTAGGTAAAAGAGAATCAAACAAATTTTCTTGACAATCAGAGTGGAATGCCCATCCAATCAGCCTCGAATCAACAACCATCTCTCCAATGGATGACAGTCTACCAATTCTTCGGATAAAATATAGCTGTTGAAACCTTATAGCAACCCAAAACCTTGGAACAGAAAGAAAGGAACAAATGGCATCAATAACTGAAACACACAACACACATAAATAAAGAACAAAAATTGGGTGTAGTCAAGGATCAAAATTTTATTTTGAAACAATTGAAATTGCCGAAACATTTCCATTTCCAAGAAGGCTGAAACGCATCTGATATGGAAATGGAATTTCAATGCTTCAAGTGTTTTTGATCGTTCGATGTATTTTAAGATGTTTCGAAATGTTCCCACCATGGTTTTAGAATGTGTCAAGTTGTTTCAAAATATTTCGGTATATTTCAACCAATGTTTCGGAATGTTTCGAAAATAAATTTCCAAATTTTTTATTGGATTCCATTCTATTTCTGAAATGTTTCTATTTCCTAGGTAATTGAAACAATATTTTGATCCTTGGGTGCAGTGTCAGGCATCCTTTTTATTTTTCTGATCCTTGGGTGCAGTGTCAGGCATCCTTTTGTATTTTTCTGATCTGTATAGCCATCTTAAATCAGACAACAACATAATTTGTTTAGTTTCACAGTTTTTTCTTCTAGCCATAAAATGTAAATTCAAACTCAATCCTTGTATTGGTTTCTATATTGTCTAACTGTTAGTTCTGAATTTCCGAAAAGCAAAATTATACAATCACAGACCCGTTTAGAGTTAAAATAAACCCAGTAAAATCATAAATCAGTCATGTGATCATTTACTTGGCATATCTTCTCCAAAACAGAAAATAACATTATCTTAACTCACAGCACCCACATAATTAACTATAATCACAAATACCTTCTACCAGGTTCATCAAGACTTTCATATGCAGAAACAGAACTTGGGCTACTAACTTCCTGGAGGAGATCAATAATGGCAAGAACTTGCACCTTCTCTGTATTGGTCACGGCCCCTAAGCAATAAAACTTCTCCACTTGTTCTGCAAAACCACTAAGTTCAGATCTTGTCCTAGATGAATTGAATGTACCATTTGAAGCATCAGAATCCCAACTGTAGGTAACTTGGGTCAAGTCTTTCTGAAGCTGCAAAGATGATGTCACTAAAGAAGCATCTCCACTCCATTGAAATTTTTCATCAGTTGACCTTGCTGACATAAGTCCTTCAAGATAATCTGAAAAGGGGACAGGTGGAATAACTCGGCTAGATTCCATAAGGCAATGCCTTTTCGCAGAAGCATCATTAGAAGTAAGATATCCCACAAGATGCTGCAGTGCTACATATGCGCGTTTCCAATTACCTGATCACATTTGGAAGTTTATATTGAGATTTTATTTCAGCTGAACCAAAACAACTATTACAATCTTACAAGAAGAAAAAATAAAAATGGGTTAGGAACAATACAGAAAATAAGAAAGAAAATGTTTCCAAAACTTAATACAGGCAGCACTAGGGTCAAACATAGATTAAACATCATTTTGGCTTCTGAAAGATAAGGGAGAAACAAAGACAAAATAAAGTGTTCGCTGTTGGACCTCAAAGTAAGTTTCTGAAGGAAATTAAACAAATACATGGGAAAGAGCTGCATTCTACATGAAGCAATATCTTATTGACCCTGACACAAAAGACTTGGCATATGAAATATCTCTGCTGCAAAAAGCCCATTACACCAACTTTCTACAAACCCTCCCTCATGGTCCGCTAAGAATAGTGTGCCCAGAAAGAAATATCAGTGTGACCCCTGGATCGTGTAGAAATTGGATAGATATTTTAGATTAATCATGAGAGTAATTTAGATACTTTTAGTATTTATATTTTAAGTATTTTCTTTTAACTTTTGAGGGTTTATTTTTCATTATTTATTTGTTTTAGGGTTTTAGTTTCCCTATATAAAGGGATGCATGTAAGGGTTTTAGGGAGACTTCGATTATTATTGAATATTGATATTGCTTCCTTCTCAAATTCTTTCCTTTTTCTCATCACTTTCTTCTTTTCTTCTCATCACTAATTCTTTCCTTCCTAGTCTACATCACAATGTCTCCGCCAAACAATGTGTAAGATCACCTAAAAGCAAAATCCCTCCACGAAGTAACTTCACTTGCAAATTTAAAGCAAGCTCCCTAAAAGTATTATGCTTCATAATTTCTACTTATTGATGGCATTCATCAATGCGTACAAAAAATGAGAAGAATGTGTGCAATTGAAACTGAAAAGAAAATAAGAAGTTAGGACCTGAAGGATGAAAGTTGCATATGCACATAGCCGCCTACAGCCACTTCAAAATACTGCTGAATTTACAAATTTACATGTGCATTGCTTCTTACAGTGATGGAACCCACAAATAGAATTCCTCTTCTTAGATGCAGCAATGAACTCCAAGAAGTAAACACCAGATATATGACAATTCGCTCATAAAGATACAAACCAACTACTCCAAAAAATGGTACACCTCTTTCTACATGCATAAAATATAAAGTATAATGCAGAAAACTCCATGTTGATGCTAAAAACAGTGTTCCTTATCAAAATTAAGATTTTACCAAATTGCCAACAGACTCATAATACCTGAACATATATTCATCAGGAGTGCCTCAGGGTGATATAATGGCAGAGATCCACCAATCTTCTCTGCCACATCTAACATACTCCAGAAACCTGATTTTTCACCTGAATCGTATTTCTTGGTAAATTTTTCCATAGACACGCTTGACAGAGTCTCATTTTTCAAGTCTAACTTCATGGAAAGCCTGGACAGGCATTTCTTGCCGTTTTCTTCTACTGTTAACTTTTTTGAATCACAAATTTCAGGATCTGCAAAAATTGGAGTAATTATATGTTTATCTGATCCACTATTGCAATCAAGAGCATCGCTCTTGCAAGTTTGCAGGCACTTAGCCTGATGTTTCTTATTGGACATGTATAAGCATTGACTAAAGAGGCAAAAATATTCATCGTGAATAACCACAGCTCTGCCTTTAGGACCCCAAAAGAAGTCACAAATAGCAGGGTAAGTATTAGCAGAAGCAATGCAAAACCAGATGTTTCTTTCTAAAGCTTTTCCTGGTTTCACCAGATTCTGACCACCAGAAGACCTCTGAGCATAAACTTGCAACTCATTTTGCAAGCAGATTCCTAGTAATAGCTTACCATCTCCCATCTGCAACCAACTTAAAGAAATAACCTCGCCATCAAGAAGTAATGTATCTTCTAGCATAAAACTGCCAATACCAGTGGAGTGCACAGATTCCCAAACCTGAAGAGTGCTAGAAGTATTCGACTGATCTTCAGGGCAAGTGATAGCAATCTTTTGACCACAACCAGCTAGAGATATTGCCGTGATGGGCCCTCGATGAGCAGCAAGCATACCCACAAGCTCCCACAGTGAAAATGTGTGAGAGTCTTTATTCGGCATACTTCTCCATAGTTTCAAACTACCATTAGAGCAGCCAGTAACCATGTGATAAGCAGAATAGCCGCTGCAAATTTCATTATAGTAAGCCGATTTTTCTTCATCAGTCAGAATAAAACTAGTGGGACAGACAACGGCAAAACTTGTAACCTGATCATGGTTGTGCGGATCTGGAAATACTGACGAACAAGGATCAAAAGCAACAAAATATCTCTTACCGTCTATATTACTTTCAACTTTCCATGTGCTTTTTTTGGCAGCATTTGTAGTTTCAAAACTGCATCCACAGCAGCTTCCAGACAAATCGCAAGAATGGATGGTAACTGTCCATGATAGTGCCTGAAAGACCTCCTTCCATATCGCTAACAGCATAAAATTATTAGAAAGTGAAGTTTTCTTCCAAGTGGAAGGCAATGGAATTGAATAGACAGTAGTCGGCCCTTCTTCGCGACTATAACTGGTAAAAGGGATGGTGCATAAGTTGTGAAACGATAATTTCTTATCTTCATTGTTGGAGATATTTACAACAAAGCAATCAATGCCTCCAACATGTCCCACAAGAAGAACCTGCACTTCATCTAATACAGCAGGTGCCCAACTCATGCTTGTGTATTTGGGATTGGAATCTTGCAGTACAATTTTCCCAGAAAGTTTCCATGCAGGATTCAATGTTGGAAGGCCCATAATGCAATCAGAAATGGTTGAAATTGACCAAAATAGAAGAAGACCATTAGTATCTAAAGAAGCAGCAAGTTCAAATTCACACCCATAAGGATTGACTGCCACTTGTAAAATTTGTCCCGAATGACCGTTGATGTTCAGCACTCCACCAGCACAACAGGAACTTGCTATTTGACTATGTAACTGTGACCAGGCTAAAGAATTAGAAGGTAATAAGTGAACCAAAGAGCATATGTCTGGTGGAGCAAAGACTTGATTCCTCAATATAACAACTTTCTCAAGAAGGATACTACCAGTTCCCACTTTGGGACCAATTACTTCTTGTCTCTTCCATAAACTCACTCGTGGGAATCTCACTGGGGTAACGTCATCAAGACAGTGGATAGCCCAGAGAGTCACCTGCATTTGAGGACCAACTCCAATCAACCACTCACACCTGCCAGACTTGTCCTGTTGATCCTCATCTGAAGAAAAATACTGGTTAACCCCATTACAATTACTAATTATACCATCAATTTCGGTAGCCCATCTCACAAATATATCAGAGCCCAGAGTTCCACACAGTACCTGGTTTATCTCAATTACAGCTGCAACACGAAAAGATTGCAACACAGTTTTCTTATCATTCTTGTCCTTGCCAACTTTTCTGAGCCTCCCATCATCAATCTCACTCCATAGCCTTACAATTCCATCCATGCAGCATGTTAACAGGACCTGCCTCAATGGGTGTCTATCAATCTTCTTTGATTGCTTTCCTGTTATTGGCCTCCATTGAATCATAGAAACTGGCAGTGGATGGCGTAGCTCAGCATTCACAAATTCGGATTTTCCACCTCTAAGCAACACAAAGACACATTTGCTTGCTTCGGACGAGCCTCTAATCTGCTGTTGAAAAGGTGCGGCTGCAGAAGGTCCATCGATGGACCAGGTTGTAGAAACCAGAGCTTGAGGCAGTTCTGGTCTAAACTTCCAAGTCATACCCCATGACCTGCCCTTCTTTCTCCACAAGACTACCTCAGCGCCACCCGAAATTATCCCATCTCCTGAACCCGTCCATTTAATGGCCTCCACCTTAGTAGATTGCACAAGAACTGCAGTCTGGCTCCAACAAAAAGAACCTGAATATGAGTTAAACGTTGAAATTTAAGACATTTTGAACAGTTAAAAGGTGCAAGACAGAAAGAGCGTGTGACCTAAAGATATTTTCATGGGGGTAACTCTGATCTAAAGATACAGTTGCCCCTGAATTGAATAGTAATATGGAGAATATATTTAGCTTTTAAATAGCAAATGTCATACATACACGTACATTAACTTGTATGAATGGATAGGAGTGCATGCATGGATGTGCATCAAACTCAAAGGATCATAGAAAGATCCTGTCAAGGGATCAAAAGGAGCATTTAATAACTTGGTTTTACTAATCAATATACCTTTAGACTGAAGAATGGAAAACAATCAATTCCTCAAACCAGCCAAATAACTCAAATTGTGCACATACCATGTGTACTCACGTAAACCATGCGTATCAATATAGTGAAGCATTAGCTTATAGTTTCCTAAACCATCTACTGTAAGGTACAATCAGCATTCTATACAATACAGAAAGTATCATACTTTGTGTTGCAAGATAATCTAACCCGGTATTAATCCTAGTGTCTTCCCTTCATCAAATCCTCTTCCTGCAGGTTTCCAAAGTACTGACAAACCAATCAAATATTGACAGCAAAATTGTTTCCGGGCTCCGAGCATCGCTAATGCCATTCACCATGAAGTCATATTAAAAAATGCATGACATTAAATATCATGGGGCATATCAACAGGAACATTAATGAACAAATCATGCATTTGTTAAACCAATTCCAAGTACAATCAGATAACTCAACATAGCTTTATCTTTTCTATCTCAATATACTCCGGTCAGGCATAAGTACCTTAATCGTAACTTCATTTTGTGTTATCAATGTGTGATACTTCCATCTTCTTCTTCTTCTCTTGTTAGCATTCTTCTTTTATAGTAACTAGTAATGCACCACGTGCTAATTTTCAATCACAAAAATTAATAAAACATATTAAATATATATATGTATTTGAATTAAATATCATCTTAAATTTATCAAACTTAATTTTTTATTACTCATATTCTATTATAAGGATTATAAAAACTTTGTATGTTCTTAAAATTCTTTGTTCTAACTATAAAAAAATAGTTAAAATTCTATTTTTGTAGAATTTTGTGATTGATATTATTTTTTTAGTAATGTTTGAGAAATTAGTTTTTTTTGTCAATATACTAATCACATTGGAACCTTACTGTAATTAGGAATTAATTAAGTCAAATTTGATAAAATTTAATATACTACTCTATAATACATGTTTTCAAGCATATAAAAATTCTAAAAAAATTTAAGTTTTACTTAAAAATATACTATAATATCTATTTTATATAAAATCTTAGTACAACTTAACAAATTTATTGTGAGTGAAGAATTATATTGATGTAATATATATTAATTTTAAAAAAAACTATATATACAATTATTTTTTATCTTAGAAATAAAACGGTTAAACTTTTCAATTTAAAAGAAAATACACATATGTAGGTATAATTTTAATTTTGTATATGAGATAAGTAATATTAAATTGATGGAGTTTTTCAAGATTTTTTGCACACTTTATCGAAAATATAATGATGCAATATATTTTTTTAAGAGTAATATAGTCAATCAAAAATTTTATATAAATTAATATTTATATAAAGAGAATAGATAATTAAAAGAGATATTATAGATAATTTAGAAATTTAAATACATAAGAATATGATTGTATCAAAATTACTTAATTGAAAAAAGATACAGCGGTTTTTCCATTTCTTTATAAGGGTAAAATAGAGATTTAAAATTTTTTTATTTTAAAGTACTTTTATTAGTAGTATAATTGATGGATTGTAACCCCAACACAATGTTTTGTCATGCCACCACAATTGACCTGTCTTTAAAATCATTCGTCCCTCTTTTTGTCCTTTTTGTTTGTACTATTGCAGCCGATAGCTTTTCTACTTCCTATTACTTCTCCTAAAACCCTTTTACTTTCTGGTCATGTGATCGTAAGTGATTGCGTATATGTTGGTTTCTATGCTTTGTAACTTCATTGTGAGATGGATTTTGAGTCATACTTCATACTATTTTGTATTTGAGAAGTTGCACCTTGGACATTTTATAGTTTTTGGATGCTTAGTTGTGACTTGTTATTTTCACCTTTTGCTTAAAAAATTTGTCAATGATAAAACATTTGCCAGTTATTTACAATGCTCACTTCGCTTCAATGAAACTCTTGCTTCTCGTCTAGGCCCTAAGAGACTGTTGGAGCCTCAATTCGCGTGGCGATGGGGTAACACATTGTAAACAGAACCAATGACTGAATATTTCACATCTGATAAAAAAAAAAACCTATCTGTGCACACTACTGGTATACAATAGATTCCTCAATTTACCAATCCTTGACATCACATGCACATTCTCCACCAAATTAAATACGCTCACCCATAAACATAAGTAAGCCATTTGTATGCGTAAATACGTTTATATGTATAATACTGCTGCAAACAAACTATTAGAAAAGCTTATATACACTTAAACTACTGCATTTCTACCATACATTTTCTAAAGAGAGGCAACTCCAACACGCAGAAACATAATTAAACAATTCATATGCACATTCATACCTATGTATAACTACATTTATATAAGCATTAGAATGCATACCATTAGAACAATCTGAAATGTGCGAAAGCAATCCAATACAATTATCCAACGCAGCGGCGAGGTCACCGACCGACGGCGACACCGGGGACCAAGAGACTGCCGATACAGTGCCTGTACCGTCTACAGAGAGTTCGAAGACTTGCCGCAAAATGGGACCGATTGAGGTTTCGTCTTCGGAGAGAGGATTTGGGAAGTGAGAGATCACGAGGAGAGAGGAAGCTCCGTATGCGACCCAGGAGTACCCGGAAAAGTCCGGCAACCAGTCGATTGCGGACTCAAATCGGGTCGGAGCCGGAGGGATGATCTCGGATTTGAGAAGCCGGAGCGGTAGGTCATCAAAATCGATCGTGGAGGCTGAGTTCTTTGATTGGCTGGATGCACTGGTACTCTCCTCCATTGTCTGTCAATACGGATTGGGGAGAAAAATAGTGAGAGGGGGGAAGGGGCAGGAGACACAGAGTAGAGGAACGATGTGTCCACTGAATGTGTTGTTTGACCAAATTTCACATTGGGCCCTGAAATGTGTATATTTCAACACTTGGCCCTGAAACTAATTTTTTGCGCGAATTTCATTTTATACCCCAAAAGATTTAAAAATTTTCATATTACATTTTTAAATATTAAGTTATTAATCTCGTCAATTTCAGTGTGTGACTGTTAACAGAATAAATAACGAAAATTAATGAAAGAGTTACATTATAATATTTTTAATATATTAAATATGTAATATAAAAAAATTAATCTTTAAAACTATATAATAAAAAATTCTAAATTTTATAGGATGCAAAATAAAATTTCTCTTAAATTTTCTTTAATCACGTGTGGTTTGGATGCAAAGTGACCTTTGATCCATATTACATGTAAAACTATATAAGATAAGTCGCTCAATCCAAATTTGATTTAAAAAGTTAGTTTGAAATTTAATCAAAATATATTGTGAATCTTATATCTTTACAATTCAGATCAAATATGGTAAAAAGTTCAATTTTGATCATATCACAGGTAAATGAAATATTCTCATTTTCGAATTCGAGCAGGTAAATACCAGGATAGAATCAGAAATTGTGACAAACATTTGAACCACGGACGATTCTGTTATTGATGTGAATACTTTTTTTTATCGTCCTTTTGTTTCTGTATGTTTATTTTATACCAATCCCGGCTAGAAAGGCCCCCCAAACGACTGCCTGAACAAAAGTCCTTTCTCATTTACTGCGTTCGGGACAATCAGTCCTCCGTTAAAACCCGATGGCATACCTGTAAATATATAGCATATGCCACAGCCAAAAGTAAATTTTACAACAAAAGTACAGTCTCTTCAAATTCCCCATTAACCGCCAAACTTGCTTTGGACTTCGACGCCACATACACCGCAGTGCTTCACTCTCTCTGTCCACACTGAATCTCGTGGGCTACGCTGAATTGTTCGTCTGCGTTTCCGAAGAACAAATTTCGCCTGTAACAACCGGTCACCGGCGACTATCTCAGAAAACGAGAAAGAAATTAACTATTTGGCTGTAGATGTCTCTCCCAGTGTTAACCTAAACAGCTGCAAGGCTCCGATTTCCACGACTGATGAGAAGTGTGAGGACAATAAAAAGAGTCGAAGAAATCTCCGGACTCCGGCGTCGGGGGAAACTCTTGCTTCTCCGACAGAGAGCGAAGGCAAGGTATAGAAGGCGGCGATGATGGACGAAGCTTTGGAGAGACTAAGAAGGCGTACGTTTCGCTGTTGGCAAACTTGCTGCATTGAATTCTAATGCTGAGGCTTTGAACTACAATCAGGTATATAAATGGTTTAACGAGAGAGAGAGAGAGAGAGAGAAGAGGAGAGGAGAGATTCCGTATGCTTAACATGTGCGTTGTAAGTATAATTTGATGATGGTTCTTGTTCGTGAAATTTCATTATATATCTTGCCGATTTAGTTATGTTCTCGCCAGTTATCCTTAGATATTTCTGCGAGATGCTTAATACGTAAATTGAAGTCTGTATACGCTTGGTTCTTCATTTTGATCTTCATGGAGTTGCTCTTTTTTTTTGTTTTGTTGCGGAAGGTGTTAACCTTGATCCCAGCAGTGTGCTTGTCTGTCTGGATAATTTTATTGGACATAAACTCGCATCAACATATGTCAGGTGATATAATTCAATAACATTACTGTCATTTCAATTGATGGATTTTTTTTTCCACATTTTTTCCACATAATTATATCAAGATTTTATGTCAGTTGATGACGTCCCATGGTGTATGGTGTATGTTATTTGCGAATAATATTGTATTAATTAATGAAAATAAAAAAAATTTAATAATAAGCTAGAAATATGACGAGAAACTCTAGAATCAAAAGGACTAAAGATAAGTAAGACTAAAACTCAATATATAGAGTGTAACTTTAGTAAAAAAAAAGAATTCATATAGTGAAATAATAAAAATTGAAGATAAAAAGATACCGAAAAATAAATATTTTAAATATTTAGGGTCTATTATTCATAGAGAGTGTGAGATTGGTGACAAAGTTACTCATAGAATCAATGTAGGATAGACTAAATGGAGGAATGCATCCGGGTATTGAGTGATAGATTCATACCACTTACGGTATAACAAAAGTTCTATAGAATGGCCATAAGATCCATATGATTTATGGTATGGAGTGTTGGGCAACTAAGAAACAACACATTCACAAATAGGTATGACACAAATAAGAATGTTAAGATGAATGTACGGTACAACTAAGAAGAATAGAATTACAAATAATATTATATGTGAAAAAGTAGATGTGACATCTATAAGAGATAAATTAAGGGAGAATCAACTTAGGTGATTTAGACATATCTATAGACAGCCTACTAGGTTCCGTTGAAAAGTGATATGATAGGTATTGAAGGTAAGCATAGGGGTAGAGGGAAGCCAAAATTAACTTTAAGTGAAATAATAAAGAAAGACATTATAACTTATGGTTTAATAGAAAGCATGGCCTTCGATAAAGCACAATAGTGAAAGAGAATTCATGTAGTCGACTTAAAAAATGTTGGGAAAAGACTTTAATGAGTTGAGTTGCTTATGTATGTATAAGAATTTTGATACTTTGAATTTCAATTTCCCTAATTTTTTTGCATTTTAGTCATCTGCACTAAATTTACGGGGCCCACTCATAGCTCCCATCATTCGTGGTGGATCATAAAAATTGGGAAAAAATACGGAATCAAATTGGGAGGATCCAAAGCACGAATAAGTATAAAGCCTCTGTAGTTGTTATATGGATCTTTCTTGAAAGTGTTTGATTTCTGGTACCTGAACCTGTCTTACATAGTTTGAATTTATCATAATTTTTTTGAGAATGTCATGTCAGCACCCATGGTTGCATTGCATCTATTATATGGAGTGCTGTAAAAATTGGTTGATTGGGACTGTTCTTTCCTGAAGAATGTTCCAATGGATGGTTAGAATCCAACTAACCAAGTCAAACTTTTAAAGTTGATTTGTGGTTCCACCAGGATGTACTTGAAGACCATATTCTAAGTTTTATAATGCTAGAGCATATGGCTTTATGAGGATAGATATGTCTATAATCCAACTGAGTTTCAAATTTAAATGTATCTTTTTGTTGGCATGGAAACTTAGCAATTCCGTGGGTCAATTGTTTGCTTTCCAATTCTGAAAAAAAGTCCAATGAAATAAGATTAAAAGTATCCTTTATGATTTCCCACATGCTGATGTCTTGTTGAACATTGAGGCAGCACAATTTTGCAACCAGAGGAAATTATGGCGTTCTTTTGTCTGATCAATAAAAATGACGAACCCTGCATCCATGTTATGGTGATCTTTTCTATCAAACTTCTTTTATTGTATTTATGATTCCACTTTGGCTTGCGTTTTGGAGGAGGGTATATATACTTTTCCAATTGGATCCAGGCGCTTTTCTTTTTTGCGCTGAGATCTGCGTAACAGATGCTTAAACCAGAGTGTGATGGCAAGGCGTATTGCTGCTCCCAGTTATAACATTCAAAACTACTCTGTTACAGAACTGAGCAGTATTCCTACACGGCTGTCTACAACTTCAATGATATCCCTGTATCTGTCCCTGACTCATTGTTCGAATTCATGCCATTGCGAGGACGGTATTTGAACAGTCCTAGTAACAGAGTAGCGTATCATGACTATATAAGTTAGGTATTACACCAATATAAAACTGTCCTAGTAATTTTGTGTTGAAAGTAAAATCAAACTTGCCGGCACAGTTCAGAGTCTCTCATTTTTACGATTTTACATATATGCTTGACACCAAGGTAAGCAAATTGAGAGGAAGCCCAAACGCAAATTGAGAGGAAGCTCATGATAGATTTTTCTTGTCCTTTTTGTTCTGAAAAATAATCTTTTGTGAGTTTTGAAAAGAATTTAAAAAGAACTTCCCAAAGTTGTTGGTCCACATGAGTTTCCCATTTCTCTCTATTCCAGTTGTCAATCATCTGTTACAAACACAAAGCATGGCTCAGATGTATTCCTTCTATTGTTCTTTTGCCAATTTGTCACCCTCTGTTCCCTTCAATTCCCTCAAACATGATTGTAGTTCAATTTCAATTTTCAAACTTTCTAAATTTTGGTCAACCTTAACCTTTGTTTGATGCTATAAAAATTAATAATATAGAAAAACATGAACTTGTCTTTTTCATTTTTTTGCCGGTAAAACATGTACTTGTCATGTGGTCTGGAAAGGGGTATTTGTATGAATTATGGCTTTTATTCACCTTCTGCAGTTCTTTTTATTCCTTTTTTGATTTTTGGCAGGTACACAGGTCGTTACACCTTCAATGGCATCCTTAATCTCATTGGTTCGTTTAATGTGCTGTGCCTATATCAGCCCTACTGTGACACATCAGTCTTGGTAATGAATTTTCCCAATATATATGCTGCACAGTCATACTCAGGCTCTGCAAGAGATGACTCAGTAAGTACGTCCATCATCCTGATTGGATTTACCTTGCAAAACCAGGTGTTTTCATATTGTATTAATCTCTCAATTTTCCAATTCTGACCCTATTCACCATTTGCTCTAATGATATCACACTCCATTTTAGATAGAAATCATATAATATTTTATTTGTTTTTGGACCTGGTTGATCATGTGATTTTACTGGTCGAAGTTGATTACTTTGCTCTTCTCCATCTTGTCTTAACCAGGGAAAAAACATTTTCCGTCTGCTTACAATTGCATAGCGGTAAAGATCAACATGCTATTGTCGCACCCACGTGATGCACAGGGCTTGTAAACCCCTATGGCATTTCCTTCCACCCACCATTTAGAAAATTAAAGAATTATGAGAAGTTATAGCCTATAGGTTTCTTGGGAATTCTAAGAATTATGAGAAGTTATTGGAGATCAAAAATAATCTTTTGAAAAAATTTAAATGAATGGTGGTCAATTAGTAAGAGAGTGGAAGTGTAGTCATTCAAATCAAATATTGAACATTGATAGGATGAAAATAATTCAACAAATCAAATTTCTAGAAAATTAGGAAAGGAGCGTGGAAGATTTCTCAAGCCCTACTTCCCTTAATTTGAATTTGATTGTGATATATTAATAGATAGGTTCTAAATCTACACTTCACAATCGATAACTTGCTTTGAGAAGAACAGGTCAATCAATGCTTATGAGTCTGAGATATAATATTTCCATAATCTCTAATCCTTGCCTTTTAAAAAATAAGATGCTTTTGGTTTCTCTAATGTTGACGATTTCCTGTATTTTTAAGTGAGCAGTAAGTAGGGATGCCACCTCTGTACCTCATTAAATTATTGTTTAGTAGCTACTTACTGCCTCATCACACAGCAGCCTTCTGCTTGGCAATTTCTGCAATGTTGTTGATTGAGAAACAATGACGACTGGGACTTCTTCTGCTTCCTCTGTAAGCCCATCGATCCGACCAAAATTGATAAGTTAAATTTTCACATGGACTGTAAATAACAACCACCCCCCCTCCCCCCCGGGTTCTTCCTGTTCTCTGCAACCCAGAAAGAAAAAGAACTCTCCCCTAAGTAATAACATTGACAACAGTAATTACGTAAATTGAAAACATAAAAGAGACAATGTATTGTGAAACCATGAGATTGAAATATTATTTGACATTAATTAAGCTAAATAACTAGAGTTCCGAGCTGGAAATCAGGATAGCCAAACAAAACCGAGAATTCTTTCTATATTGCTTGTTACATTCTTTTTATTGATGTTACCTGAGAATTCAACAAGGTTAGCATTCCCTTGTATTGTTTTTTATTTGCACAAGCCTGCACAAATAGACTTTTGAGCCATCTTTCCAAATGATATTGACATAATTGTTTGCAAAAATGAGGGAAGTCCAATTAAATATTCCTACGTCTGTCTGTCTTGACTTCTGTAAACCATACATCGATGAGTAATACTATTGGGACCAAACAATTTGGCCTTATGATGTGTTTTTGATTTGATCCAAAAGTACATTACAGGTATAATTATTGGACTTTTTATTAGAACTATCAGCTGATACATCATTAGGTAAGGGTATTAGGTCAATTTATTAGGTCTTGTGTAAAAATATAAGACACGACTATTTTGGATCTCTAGAAGGTGTTTTTGTATTTGTTGCGACAGATTGGATTCTCATTCTTTTTTTTGGGGGGGGGAGGGAGTAGATTTGATTGTCATTCTTATGGGATCTGAATGTAATATTGCGATGTAGATCATATGTTATGGGTGCTATTGAACTTCAAAGACAAACAATGTAGTTTTTTATAATTTTTTTCCGGAACTTGTACTTTTTAGAACTTCATAGACAAACAATATAGTTTTTATGTTTATGTCTTTACATTTTGCCCTACTGTAAAATTTAATAGCTTATACACGAAAGAATTAAAAACACATACACTGCATATATATCTAAGAAGAAATAGATAGACTTGTAGATTATAATTGTTTACTTTTCAAAATGTTGAAAATTTTTCTAGTTGGTTATGCTGTAGCACTCAAACTTAGTTTAAAGTTATACAACGGTCAACTTGATTAAAGCTAAACATTTGTCTGCTTTTGTATGCCAGCAGCTGTCTATTTCAACTCATCTTAGGAAATTATTATGTGTAACATGGAGATTTTCATGCACCATAAACAATTAACGCATGTCTGTCAATCTGAGATTCAGATTTGATTAACAAACATTAAAAACTTGAAAAAACGAAAAGAAAAAAATGTGAGAAAGCAAAAAGATCTAAGTTATTGTTAGAATCTTGTGTATTTGATTGGTTCTTTGGTGTTATTGAGAAATAAAATAAATGAAATAGATGTAGTGGCTATCGCTGTGTTTCATATGCAAGGACTTCTGTAGGTCAACTGGTCCAGTGAACTACTTTATAAGATAATGTAAAAATTTAGCCAACTTATACTCAGCTAGGAAAAAAATAAGATATAGAGACCAACACGTATGTTTCTAGAGCTGTAGTTTGTCTAGGGCGATCACCGGCAGGCCTGCACTGGATACTCATCAAGTTAACATATACTCGAATAGGCATGATCATCATCTCCTACTTGTGCCTTAACAATGACCATATAGCCTAGGTAATGACTTAATTTGATTTAATATATCTTTGTTTTTTTAATATTGCGATTCATAATTTTATCTATTTGTTCGTACTTTGAGTTGTCATGTTGCATTTCCGTACTCTATAATGGTAGAATTGGCACTGCAATGGTGAAGATAGCGATCCTATGCTACTTACTAATTAATTATGATGAATCGAGTTGTATCATGCATGTGATCGTGATTTATATTCATCGGGTATGTTATGTTATTCCAAAATTTTCTTATGATGAAAATTTTGTGTGGGTGGGTCTTTACATGTGATTAATGGGAATTTTGGAGTACAAGTAGCTATGCACGTAGATTCGAATGTGATGAAAGTGAATTCTCATTTCCCAAGCTACGGGGTAGCCAATGGGAGAAGTAATCCCGTATATGGGAGGCTAAGCCTCATCCTATAACAAGATCAACTCATCATCTTGGCTTCTGTGGATTATTGCTATTCCATTTGAAATGATTGACCTATGTACTAGGTTGTAGCAAAGCATGATGCTTATTACATATTGATAGCTATCAATTGGAAACTTGCCTGAGATTATAATTAATTAAGCAGGTATCAATTTCATTCATGCTGTCAATCACAACCCCTTAAGCCAATTACTAAGCAAAGTATTTAAACCCATCTTTAATATTAAATTTTCCGGTGAATCAACTAATCATCCCTATGATTTACACATAATTTACAAGATGGAGACAGTAAAAATTGAAATATCTGACATGATGAAAATCAATGGACACCCCTCAAGCTAAAGGAAATACATATAGGACAGTCATAAAACGGCTAGTTTAGCAATTTGTAGTATCTTTAGCCAAGATACATCATTTGAGCCCCCACAAAGGTGGGGTTAGGAAGGCGTGCACCAACTGCTTATGATTGAGTGAAAGAGTGTCGAACAAAAGCGACACAAATAAACTCTTCTTTGGTCGACTTTTACCCTCTTTGAGTACTGCAAAGGTTGAAAACTTTTGGGTTGTCTAGGTCTTGTCATTCTCAGACTTTGGCATCTCTCTCTCTCTCTCAACAACCCCACACATGCATGAGGGTTAGGCTCTTCAATTGATATACTCTTTTGAAAACAAAGGACCACTACTTTCTTTCTCTGAATGTTACTACAACATCATCTTAACAATCAGAACTCAATAAGAACTCTACTTGTTTAACTGCTTTACTTTTTTTAATTCCATGGAATAATAGAGAAAGAGGCTTACTTTCATCTGATAATATTTGGTAATGGTACATGATACAGCTCTGTATGAAAAGTATTTGTGCGTGACTGCGAGTGGGGCAGAGAGTTGTTGGGGTGGGGTTTGAAGGTGGCGTTTAGAGCAGGTGACCCTACGTTCTTGGTCAAAATAAATGATTTAATGGTGAAAATGCTGAGGGACTGTAGATAAATGAAAAGGCAGAAAAGGAGGGAGGAGGGTAAACAATTCTCCATACTTTGACACAGTGAATAAACACGCCCCCAGAGAACAAAAAACAGAAAAAAATGAACACGCCTCCAACAACTTATTATTAGTAAACCACGTTAGGGGAATCATGAAAGCTGACAAACATAATACGTCTTGACAATCCTTTCTCTTCTTCTCCTTCCTTTATTAAAAAAATGTGTTCATGGATCCATTAAAAAGTCTCTCCTTCATCCGCTATAGTCTCCATGCAGCCCACTCCTCCCTTCTCTCTCTCTGTGCCGAGTAAAATGACCAAAGTAGTCACAACATTGAATTACTTATGGTTAAGCTTACTACTTTACGCTCTTAACATGCATGTAATGGCATTTTGGCCAGGAGGAAGATCAACCAGATTCTATGACTTCAAGGTCTTTCTTTCTCTAAATTGTTAATTTTGTAGATATTGATGGACTTGTACATTTTTATTGGTTGATTTGTCACTGACAATGTTTTTTCTCTTTTCCTCTTACTTCTAAACAACCATCAGGTGCAAACCATGAGAACTACTAAGCTGTGTAACACCCAGGACATTGTGACGATTAATGGAATGTATCCTGGCCCAGTTGTTTATGCTCAAGAAGACGATCGAGTAATTGTCAGACTTACCAACGAATCACCATACAACGCGACAATCCACTGGTAAAATCCTGCAATTTTGTGATGAATGTTTGTAGAGTTAAAACAATTTATTGGCAACTTTTAATCACGTGTGACATGCGTTCTTCTTTTTCATGTCCAATTCCAGGCATGGTGTCCGGCAGAGGCTATCGTGCTGGTCAGACGGGCCTTCATACATTACCCAATGCCCCGTTCAACCTGGACAGACTTTCACTTACGAGTTTACGCTAATCCAGCAGAAGGGCACCCTTTTTTGGCATGCTCATATATCGTGGATTCGGGGCACTGTTCATGGCGCCATTGTCATATATCCAAAGACTGGGGTCCCATACCCATTCCAGTACCCTTATGAAGAGCATATCATAATCTTAGGTACATATCTAGGTTTAGTTATACGAGTTTTAATCTATATACAGTTACTATAGAAGCAATTGTACATACTAAAGCTACAGATTGACATGCTTGGAAATATATCAGGGGAGTATTGGCTGAGGGACCTCAGACAACTTGAGCAGGCTGTTCTGGCGAGCGGTGGAGGTCCTCCACCGGCAAATGCTTTTACAATCAACGGTCACCCGGGACCTAATTACAACTGTTCCAACAACGGTAATAAGAAATATTTCTCTGTATACCTACCAATACTAATAGATGACTCAGAAATTAATAGAGGTGTTAGTGTAGGGATGATTGATTGTGTCATGGATCAGGCTATCGATAGTTTATTAATAATAATTTTAAAGGTCAAAGTTTCCTTTCCTTCCACTAATAATGTATATTGTTTAAGCGAGAACACAATGAATTGGTCATAGTTGATGTAGTACTTTTATTTTCTTTTTCAAAACGTTGAATTGTGTCGTTATTGTTGCAGATGTGTATAAAATTGATGTGGTCCCTGGGAAGACGTATCTGTTAAGGTTAATCAATGCAGGTTTAAACATGGAGAGCTTCTTTGCTATTGCTAATCACAAGTTAACGATTGTTGAAGCTGATGCTGAGTATATAAAGCCATTCACGACAGACCGTGTGATGCTCGGGCCTGGCCAGACACTCAACGTCCTAGTGACTGCCAATCAGCCTATAGGACGATACTCCATGGCCATGGGACCTTACATGTCAGCCAGGAATGTCCCATTCCAAAATATAACATCAATTGCCTACTTCCAATACCTTGGTGCCATGCCAAATAGCATTGCTTTACCAGCTCCTCTGCCAGTTTTCAACGATAATCTAGCCGTTAAGACAGTCATGGATGGGCTTAAAAGTCTTAATCCTGCTCAAATCCCAAAGAGATTGATAAAAACCTTTTCATCACTATTGGTGTAAACGTTCAGAAATGCTCTTCGAAAAATCCACAGCAGAATTGCCAGGGAGTTAACGGAGGAGTTCTGGCTGCTTCAATGAACAACATTAGTTTTATTAAGCCTAACATTTCACTTTTGGAAGCTTATTACAAGAATATAAATGGTTATTTCACCGAGGATTTTCCAGAGGTACCTCTCAAATTCTACGACTTTGTCAATGGGGCACCTAATAACCCTCCTAATGACACCCAATCATTGAATGGAACTAGGACATATGTCCTTGAGTATGGGACTAGGGTTCAAATCATTTTGCAGGACACTGGAACGATATCAACTGAAAACCACCCAATTCATCTTCATGGCTACAGTTTCTACGTTGTGGGGTATGGTACTGGAAATTATAATCCACAAACAGCAAATTTCAACTTGGTGGATCCACCTTACATGAACACAATTGGAGTTCCAGTAGGCGGATGGGCAGCGATTCGCTTTACTGCAGACAATCCAGGTACATATACATCCACACACAAACAACACATGCTATTATATTCTTGATCTGTTTCTTCAATGTTATGCATAAGAGATTAGATTTTGTTGATCAGTTCGATTATTATGTTGTAGGGACTTGGTTCATGCACTGTCACTTGGAAATACATATGTCATGGGGCTTATCTGTGGTTTTCATAGTGAAGAATGGACAAGGAGCGCTAGAGACACTTCCCCATCCTCCGGCAGACCTGCCACGATGCTAGAGTACATGGGAGTTTGATAATGACACAGGATTTTGGTTGTAATATTCGGATTAAACGATTCTTTTGATGCAAGTGTGTTATAGGAGTGGCTTGTTTTTCTTGACAACAAGAAAATGTGGTGTATCGCAAAGGTTGGAATGAATAAAGAAAATTGCTTTCCATGCTCTGTTTTATGTCATACTTTTTAATCTGATAACGATCTGCCCCAGATGTAGTTTACTGATCTGAAGGACCAGAGTTGAACATATTAGTATGTTTTAACACCTATACACAATAAAAGAAAGAAAAAAAAAGAAAGAAAAGTAGGCATGTAAGCATAATGCAAATTAAAAGCTGTCAAAACCAAAACAGCTGACAGATAGTATCAAGGAGCAGGAAACTTATCATTGTCATTTGTTACTATAAACGAGTGTAATAGATATAAGCATACCTTCTCTCCATCATACTTCCTGCAATCTCATTCTAGAAAGTGTTTTTGTCTCCAATAGCTTCAAATTTTAAGGTTTATCATTCAATATCCAGTCTCTATAAAGCATCGATCACTCCTTAGGAAATAGGCACAACGAAAGAGCAATTTTGACAAAATAGGAAATCATCTAATCATATGCAGATATTCATCCCTCTGAATAGAAAATCAGAGTAAGTACAATTTTGGTAGCAAAATAACATTAGTATCACCATGCTATGCTTGTATTTCAGTGATTATGGTAACTTACCAGTACCCATTTTTGTTTGTTACAATTTCAGATGCTACCCGCCTTCAGTAACCATCACTAACACGCCAAGAGGTGTCTTTTAAATTATATCTATAGGGGTATGATTGAAATTTTCTGAGTGTTACACAAAACTCATAAAGTTGACTGACTTTCATAAGTTGCCCGATGTGGCAACTAATTTGTACTTGCTATATCACACTTACTTCATAAAATCAAAACATGCTTATTTGTTCTATGAGCAAGTGGGATCCATGGACCACAAAAAAAATGTAACAGAAGGGGTAACAGGCTTCTTAATCTCTCAGGTAATATGACTCAATATTTCTCCAGAACAATATTTATAATCTATTTACTGATTTGTTGGGACAAGGAAGAAAGAACATACAGAAAATGAAAAAAAAAAAAAAACAAAGATTAACTGCCCTGAACAAACTGTTCAAGATAGGCATATGGACTCATTGAAATGTCATCAAAGACACATTGGATTCGTCTTAAACCAATTGATTAGAAGAAAAGAAAGATCTCATCAACCATGGCAGCGTCAGTACAGAAAGGAGAAGCCGTTGAAATTTTACAAAGAAAAAGAACAAGAACATCATCAAAATATGGTCCTTGAAATGATGGGTAGCTTCCAGCAAAAAAGAAATCAAATGTTATCAGAACAAGAGAAGGAGATTAGGAGAGTAAAGAAATAGACCAGGAATCAAGAAGCGTGAGATGTACCTTACGATATGCCAGCAGCTTCAGGTGAATGTAGCAGACAGCTTAGAAACACTGCATGGTTTGATAAACACCAATATGAAAATCGAAGCTGGGCCATATACTCAGTAAGGAGCAGAACATATTCCCATGGAAGACTATGACATCAAATTTACCTTACAATGACCAGATACAGATGGCAGAGAAAAGAAAAAAAATAATATAATCCAATTTGAGGTCAGAAAACTCTAATAAATAATCATTACATACCTTAAGTAGAGCGAAGTAGTACAAAGTGTAGTACAGACAATCAATTGCAGTACAATTATCATCCATTCTATTTGGTACTGAACATAGCAGGAAACTCCCAGTGCATCTTCAAAAATTGGATCCCTTAAACAAAACAACTAACATCCCAATACTCAATTTTAATAAACAATAACAGACTACACGCAACACTTACTTACAAGTCTGGTAGAACAACAACTCATGACAATATGTAGTTGTGGTAGATAAGATACATACAGAATAGATCTACACGTTTTCTTTCTTCTGAAGGACCATTTTGTCAAATTCCTTCCTTGGGAAGGCCTCTTGCGCGAATGAGTATTCTACAAAAGATACAATTCTGAATTCTCCTTCCTGAACTTTTGTATTCACTTTCCCTCCAATTTTCCAGTTTCAGCTAGGCATTAGTTGACATACTCATTCGGGTAGATTACTCTCACTGGCCATCCTTGTGCTTTACCTGCTTTGAGTAAAACTTATCAAGCCCAGCCCAAAGGTTCAAGGCTAATTGAGAGACAAACAAGATATGAAGAACCTCGATGCTTTTTCCGGAAAGTAACTTCTATGCATTTCATCAAACAAAGATACACTAGTATTTCAAAAGTTGTATTGAAATAATAGTCTTATCTCATTATGCTTGATCTATATCATGGGAAAACATAAGATATATGGTAGATTCATCTTGATAAAATGAAGATATTATACAGCGTGGTAGATGACAATTGTAAATTCATTACAGTCGATCACCACGGATGTGTTACATGCTCTCAAGAAGACAATCTTTCCATTTCCCATTTTAAAATCACAAAGCATAGATTATGGGTTGACTTTCTCTGAGGTCCAAGACTTCTCTCCATTGCCACTCAGTCTGGATGCAAAGCCAACCCTTTCATTACTCTTCAAATTCACATAATCCACCTGTATATAAGACAAATCCTGTAAGGTTTAAAGAGGGAGAACAAAATCGTCCTGAAATGACATACAAGACCAGAGATCTGGGACCTGGTCAGTATCCAGAACTAGCAGACAATATGCACCAACTGGGCCTGTAGAAGGGTCCAAAGAGGGCTCCTGCGATGGTTGTTCAATTAGAGAGGGAAGACCTGGATGCGGCCCCAGGTACTGCAACCTTGACTTTAGAGAACTAGCAAACCAAGCTTTCTCTCTTTGCTGCATTGCAAATTTCAAAATAAAGAAAAATTTCATCATAAAACAAGCAAATGCTAGTATAATAGGGGCCTCATCATTTATCTATGTGAAATGATTGTGCAGATCATAGAAACAGAAAATGTCCCTCGCCCCAACAGTAAATGGTGAAATTAACTAAAAAACTCATTTACCAATCTGGTTTTTTGACAATTTCTATAGACGGTAACATTTGAAACGTATTCTCTTTGTCAGCTACACTAAGCAGCTCTACTTACAAGAATGAATAAGATAAAAAAATTCAAATCATTAAACCAAGCATATGAGCTTGATAGGTAGTTACCAAAAATCATTCAATATCTCTACTCAAAACAAATGGTTTATTGTCAAGTTCAACGCATTCAGATCATAGGTGATAAGATTACATGAAAAAACCTACTCGGCATCGTATTTTTGAGTTGGAAGTTCATACACCCCTCTTGCTCAATCCAAGAGACTGTAACACCAATTCTAGGTGGAAAACTTCAATTGTTCATGGAAAAACAATTAACTAACCAAAGTTTTGATCAAAACAGTAAGTGCAAATATGCAATCATTAAACCTTTGAATTTGAATAGAATAGACCCTCAGTTGTTTAGAAGAGGAAATTAATGAAATTATAGGGTTGAGTAACTTGAGTTGGACAGTGGTGGCCCTGTAAGTTGGTGCAATGCACACTCATTTGCACCCAGCCACATCAAGTCTTCCTGTTAAAGAAATCTGTCGTATAATTTAAAGCATTCCAAGATATCAGATAAAATGATAGATAAAGGGTGAATCAACAGCCAAAAAGGTTTAATGCACCTGAAGTTTAATGGGGTCAGCATTCGACCCATCAATGACATCAACTCTTCCATTAATTCGGAATTGCTCCCAAGAGTCAGTAAAATACCAACATATCTAAATCATCAAAAAAGCTAGTTTAAAATAGATTTTAAGGAACAAAAAAGTTAAACTTGGAAGAATTTTATAGCAATGCAACTTAATGAAATTTAAAGCTGCGAATGTCATAAAATAAAATAATTTTCCAAGCATGAATTATCAGAAAGTATGCCTCCGTGTAATAGTAATTTTCACCTCAGCAAAAGGGCAATGCTTGAGATCTTCGATCTGCATTGTTCAAGTGAAACTGAACACCAGTTAGCAGTAGTTTGACTAAATTAAATCAATAAACTTAATCTAACAGAAAAGAAAACTGCTACATAGCATAGGATGTTGTAGCTTTCATAAATCAATCAATATCAAACAAGGCAAAGTGCATGACCTTGTGACTTCGGGAATCAGTGTTGATTTGGATCTTATCACTGTTCTCTTGGAACCCTCTGATACCCATTAACCATTAACCACAACATTCAGAAAATGTCGATGCTTCTTCTTAAACATGTGCTTGTGCGTGCTGTGAAGAGAGAGAGAGAGAGAGACCTGAAAACAACCGTGCGATTCGAGGGTTTACCATTAGATCCAATAGTTGCCTGAAGACCGATAAATCAACAACTGGTTAGAACAAATTCGACCAAAAGAATGATTCATGAGTAGTAGATATGTGCGTGTGATAGAGAGAGATATATAAATATATATATATATAGAGAGAGAGAGAGAGAGAGAGACAAGCTGAACGAAGGAAGAGTGCTTGAGGTTGGAATTGGACTGCAACGCGTTGAGTAGAAGCTGCTTCCATGGCGCCGTTGCTGTTGTCGTACCCATTCGCCGCGAACCTCTCTGCGTTTTTCGCCCAATTTAAAATTCCCTTCTGATGGTTCGGGAAATTTATTTTTTATAGCCCACCCCACATCTTGAATTTATAAAAGTTAGACCTTCAATTTTATTCAATGTCAACTGCCAATAATTCTTGTTCAAAAAAAAAATTAGCAATAATTCCATATTTGAATGTATTTTATAATATTAAAAATAAAATATTGATCATATTATATTTTAAAAAAAATATTTAATCACGCAATTTAAAATTAAATAAACAAAAACAAAATTAAAAAATGGTTAAGAGACGTAGAAAAGAAGTATAGATATGAATTATCGAAATAATTTGACATTAGGGATCATGTAATAAAAACAATTTTTTTGAGCGATGGAAGAATTTTTGGAATGAATATATATAATACAAAATACAAAAATAAAGAGGATGGATAACAAACGATAATGCCATTGTCTCAAGACAATGACAAATGTCAATTTCGTTACTTTAAAAAAATACTGATCATCGCTATAAATTTGAAGGATACATCCTAGTGATGGGCTTGCATGACTTAAATTGATCAAGCTATGTTGGCAACATTGGTTTCATTGGTAATGAATCGAAGGAAATGAGATAAGAGAGAGTAATTATTGGAAAAAGAGACTAGAAAGAATGAGTGAATGGAAAAGAGAGAAATGAGAGGAATTTAAATAAGAGATAAAATAGAGAGAAGAAGAGAGGAGATAGAAAAGTGAGATGGAAGAGAGAGAGAGAGAGAAATTCAAGTAAGAGATGGAAGAGGAATGATCGAAGAGAGATGATCGAGAAATCAAAGGAATAGAGAACAGAGAAAAATTGAAGAAAAGATAAGGTAGAGTAGAGTGGGAAGGAAGAGGAGAGAAAAAATAATGGAAAGAATAGGTGTTAAAAAGAAAATCATGAGGCACAAGAGAGAAGATGAGAGAAAGATAAATGAGGTAATAAAGATAAGAAAAACCATACACACATGTCCTTAATAACTTTAAAAATACATGTTTGTATTTATTGACAAAAAAAAATTGGTGAAATACATAGATTTCTAATTTTTACAAATAAGTATTATAATTTCAAAAGATGAAAGCATATTTAGAAACAACCTTCCATGGATTGGGCCTGGACAGGAGGCTCGGACCAGTGTAAGCCCCCCCATCTTAGCTTTAGAAGAATTGTCACCCGGGCTCAATTTTTGAATATGACTAATTAGTACCAGTGTTAAAATATTAGACCACTTCCAGTCACCCGCAAAATAAAAAAATTAGAGTGTTTGCATATTTTTTAAGTCATTCATTTCATAATAAGTTGATTTGATCTGACAAGATTAATAAATAAATAAATTAAATTAAATATATATAAAATTAATAAAAAAATACAAGATATATAAGACACATAATCAATATAACATAATTTATTAGATACAAATCTATACTAATAAAATAGGGCAATTTTAAAAATTCTCAATTGAAATCAATCTTCCTAATTTAAAGAAATAGAACAACAAGTAAGATTTAATTAAAGTGCTTTTGACATCAATCTGACCTAACATTAATTCACCCATCCGACAAGATGGGCAAATCTACAACTATCACTGAGGTTTTGGGATGTTTGGCTGTTTCGAAGGTGTACAATTCACACCGTAAAAGTGTCCCCACCCCATCCACATCTCCAACACCAACGACGTCTCTTCCGTTCTCTCGCGCATTTTTCGGGTCCTACCACAGTTCCTTTTGTCGGCTACCGTCGGCACACACACATTCCCCCCCCCCCCCTCTCTCTCTCTCTCTCTCTCTCTCTCTCTCACACACACACACACACACACTTTTGTGTTCTAAATTGAAACCCAAAGAAAAGAAGATGCTATTCAACAAAATTTTGCCTCGTTTATTTTTTGAAAAAAAGAAGGAACTTCTCCTAGCACCTCACGATTTATTTATTTATTTTTTTAATTTAATGGTCAAAGGTGATGATGCATAAAATAAGTTTATACAAGATCAACAGTCGAGTGTGTGATAAAATGTAATTAATGGATAATAAATAAAACAATCAATGACAGTAATGTAAATATTGAGTCAATACATAGATATACAGTGGTTCAGTTTGGGTGACCTATTTTACTTTGAGAAACGACAATGGTGGTCGGGGACTTTATTGATGAAGTAAAGTAAACCAAAGAGAGAGAACAATGGTTAGCTCCGGGAGAGGTACAATAGCTAAGAGAGAGAAAAATTATGTGTATGTAGAGGAGTGTAGATGTAGAGCTCAATGTGTCATCTCACGTAAAGAAAACTTATAATTTATTGGCACAGGATCTTAGTTAAGGCGGTGACTTGAGAATAAAGGTACTAATTCTTCGGGTGGCTACAAAAGGTAATTGACATTAAAGGTTGTCTTGATTTTCGAGAGTGAGTATCTTGATAATTACTCCTCATGTGCTTTAATTATTCTTGGACACCTTGAATCTTGGACTGGGTCAAATTCTCAAGCTGGACTTGACCTGTCCGTTTAGCTGATATGAGTTCATCTAATTTATTGGGTCTAACCTAGTTAGATTTGGGTTCATCATTTGCCCTCATGCCCCAAGCTTCAATCGTTTGCGAGAGAAGGAAGTTAAGGGCATGAGCGAGCCTCCAGATAGACAAGAGGTTTTTTGTTACCACGACAGGTCTTTGGTTTATGATATCTGTAGTCTGCAAAAATTTATTCCCTTATTTGGCAACATCGCATCTACTACATCTATCGTTGTGTTAACCATCAATCCTATGTTAGGTTATTCGCTGCACTTGGACTTCTTTTTTATCTAGAGCACCAAACCTTAGGAGGCGATGGAGAAAGGGATCTCAATGCTAGGGGGAAATATGGGGAAACCTATGATCGGCGTCATTGGCTCCTCCGTATTTAAGCAAATTGGTGGGCAAGGAGGCGATGGAGCTAGCTTTGCCAGTGTAGGGAGGCTAGACAACACCCATGGGACAGCTAACAATGGTGCATTTAGCGATGTCACAAGAGGCAGCGAAGGGGGGCGAAGCATAAAAGGGCATCGAAGGCGGCACCCAAGTTGCAATCGGCAACGCCTCAAGGGCTAGAAGTGTAGGAGGTGATGTTAACGAGTTGGGCGACTCCTCAAATGGCTTTGGTGACGCCGCTGGCTTGACGGGCGACGCCCCTGACTCGGTTGACTTGGGCGGCGCCCCTAGCATGCCACACGTTATCGACTACTGGCTGGGTGTAGGCGTTACTGGCAAAGAAACTGCAAGTGGCGACACCTTCAACAACATAGGAGCAAGCTTGACAGCCTGGGCCCTGGCTGGCCTTAGCGACACCAAGTAGCTTGGGCACTAGGGCTCTGGCTGGCGCTGGGCGCTGCCTTGGAGTAGGAGGCAACATCAAGGCCGATTGGGTGATGCCCTTAGAGCAGGAGGTGATGCCAAGGATGTTATATGGTCTGGGCGACATCATGGAGGACTCAGGCAAAGTTAGGAGAAGGGAACGCGCTGGGGCGCTGATTGAAATATCAAAAAATCATGAAAAAATAGCAAAATTTGAACGAATATTACTTTGCACTCAGTTGTCTATTTGAGATATTTTTTTTGAATCTAGGTATTTTTTTTGAGATCTACGTCATATAAACAGCCAAAGGCGATTTAGGCAACAAAATTTTCCAAAAAATGCTTATATCTCTTTGAATTTGAGTTTTAAACACAAATTAGTGAAACTGACGATAGTGTGGAGTTGCGCTCTGGTAAATAGTTGTCACCCATTCATGAGCAGTGAGTTGGCGTTCAAGGTTTTTCCAGAGAAAGAGACTATGATGGTTTTTGGCTAGGTAGGAGGCAAACCCACTTTCTCCAATCCTGCTTTCTTTTTAACGTTTTCTCAATGCTGGTTCTTTATATTGACATTCTCTCTAATTATAGGCGCCCTATTAACAAAGCGATAGTGGAGGCTCTCTATGCTTTTAGGGTGACATCTTTCACTCTTTCTAAGAGGGCGAGGTTTGATACTCTCAGTGTTTTTCAGCCGATGTCCGATGGCCAAGTTATTTCCCTGAAGCGAGATCCAATGGTGCCACCACTCTTTCCTAGACTGTGACTCTCGTGAATATTAGAGGCTAGCCCTTATACCACTGTGGAATTTGAGACTCCAGTGCGATCTTTTAAGGGGATTGTAGTTCCGCATGGCTGCCCTACTTCTAGTAGTGGTTGGATGTCCTTGCTTTGATGTGACTTTGGCCAAGGAGTGAATTTGGAGGTCAGTGACTCCCGGGGATATCAGAGAGGTTGAATCTCAAGGTCCAGAGGGCATTATTAATACCACAATAGAGGGGCCTTCCATGATATGCCTTTCTACTCAACTTTGATTTTGTACCCACCTCATTTCCTTCATGTTCTGCTTTTTGAATACTTGCATGTGGTTGCTGCTTTTCCCTACCTTTTTCAAGGACAATCTAGCTTGGAGATACATTCAGGCATCTAATAATAGAGAGGCAGACACAAGGGGCTGTTGAATGCAATTGAGGTTGGCTTATGAGAAAGTAACACCTCTTGAAGCCGAGCTTCCTGGTGACTCGTAAGAGAGGTGCTAAGATGGAGATTGAGACTACTTGAGAGTAGAGATAAGATTAGACCGAGTTTCTTGGTGACTCGTGAGAGAGCGCGAAGCTGGATACATAGACGAGTTGGAAGTAGAGGTAGGATTAGGCCGAGCTTCTTGGCAACTCGTGAGAGAGTGCAAAATTGGATACATAGACTGCTTAGGAGCAGATGTAGGATTAGACCAAGCTTTCTAGCGACTCATGAGAGAGCATGAAGTTGGAGATATAGGCTGCCTACGTGAGAGTAGAAGCAGAGTTAGGCCGAGCTTGTGTGCGACTCGTGAGAGAGACGCTATGCTAGAGACTGATAAGGTGATTGCCTGCACAAGAGTAGAGTTAGAGCTGCGAGCGTCCAGCAAGAAGGCTGTCAGAGCTAAGATTGAGCTATGTATAGCTCGAGAGAGGGTTGCCGTGAAAAAGGCTCATTCCATTGAGATGGAGATGAGGAGGGAGGCTGCTGAGAGGGCCGTTGCAAACGTCTTTATTAATGGTTATGAAAAGCTTGATAGATTTTTCTACTATTGATTTCTCTGGTTTCGTCTCATTTGAGGCACTTAGGGTTGATGGTAACGGGAGAGCGTTGATAATAGTGGCTCGAGATCCATGAGTGATCGTCGGGAGTATGACGACTTTTGTCTTTTTGTCTACCTTGTTGTTAGGTTATGTTTTGACTTTTATAAGCTATTTACAAACTTTATGAAATGAAAGCAAGACAGTTCTAGACATAATAATCTTCGCAGATTTTTATTTCATAAAATAATAAATAACATAATAAATCAACCGAAACAATAAAAAAAAGATAAAATAAGAGCCACTGGCTTGTATCCACTATTGATAATAGCTTTTCAGATGTTCGGTGTCCTATAGGTGGGCCAAGGCTTTCTTGGCGGAGTTGGAATCGCCTCCTCCTCCTAGCCCTCAAGAGATTGTCTGGATTTCTCAAAGGGGTTGCTGACGTTCTCTGTCATCTTGGTCCTGGCCAGGTGGCGGGGCTTGTCTTTTACTAGCAACGTACTGTCTTAACTGGTCACGCTATATGAGCTCCTCGATCTGCCAGTCATCAATGTCGTGACCGTGGTCGCGGCGAAAACGACAATACTTGCCTAGATTTCTTCGATTTAGGGCGGACTTTATTTTTCCTGGCCAACGGAGCATGGGGTCGTTTTGTATCTGGAACAGGATATGCTCCACTGAAGCATTGAGTGGCGTAAAGGCTTCTCGTTCTCTCAAAGGTGGGAGACCAAGGCGGTCATTGATAGAGACTCTCTCTGTCATATTCCTCTTGTTCTCTGCTTCTCTCTTGTCTTCGCGGGTATCCTTTCTTTTCTCACTCCTACAGGAGAACTCACCTTGTCGGTCTTTGGTGATGTCCGCGACATTCATGTACTTTTGTGCCAGTAGATCAAGCACGCAGGAGGGCGACTTCTTTAGGATAGAGAACGTAAAACTGGAGGAGCACAGACTTGCAATGAAGGTGGTCATGGTTACCTTATCATCTGACTCCTCAATCTAAAGAGCCTCCTCGTTGAAACGAGTGAGATACTTCCTAAGGCTTTTGTCCTGGTCCTGCTTTATGGTACGCATGTGGGTAACCGACTTTTGATATTAGCGTCTCCCAATGAAATGGGAGAAGAAATATTTGTTCAACTCCATAAATGAGTGGATAGAGGAAGGTTTGATCTTCGTGAACTATTATCGAGGAGACCCTTTTAAGGTAGTAGGGAATACTCTACACATTATCTCATCAGACAAGTTGTGGAGTTGTATGAGAAACTTATAGGTATCAAGGTGATCTAGAGGGTCCTTGATGCCATCGAAAATCTTGATGGTGAGCATCTTGAACTTTGAGGGTTGGGGGTAATTGACAACATCTGTAAAAAATGGGGTGTTAGTGCATCTTACTAAGTAATCCATCATCTCCGATACTTGTGCTTTGATGGCGTTGAGGGCATCGCCAAGCTGGTCTTGTACCTCCTTGATCTTCTTGTCCCATTAGTTAGGAATATGCTATGTCGGATCATTGTAGTAGCTCTTGTGATCTGTATATTAGTTCTCCTCCTCATCCTCCCACCTGAGATGGTCAGTTGTGTGTGGTGCATGTATGTGAGGAAGATGAGCATGTGTGGTGCCTACGTGTAATGGAGGGACTCCCAAACGAGGGGTGCCTTGGCGCTGCCCAGGGGCGCTCTGGAGCTGGGCTCCTCAGAAGGTACCTCAGCGCCTAGAGTGGTGAGGTTGTGGCACTTCTCCAATCGGGGGAAATACCGCTTTTGCAAGTTGAAGGGTAACACCTCCTGAGGCGAGCATCAGCTAGATGATTTGTTGGTTTTGACTTACAAACAATTGCATGATCTCCAAGAACTGTTGCCTGACCACAGGGGTTACTACAGTAGATGGTTCTGCCAGGTGGAGGCGGAGCCTCCTCCCGGCGGACAGGGTTGTTGTCTCTCGGTTATTGATTCATTAACCTGATCATGATTGTCATGGATTTCAAGAGAGTAGCTAGGTAGTATAAAACTTAGTCGTTTTTCACAAACGACGCCAAACTGATAATGCACAAAACAGACTTATGCAATATCAACAGTCGAGTATGTGATAAGGTATAATTAATGGACAATAAATAAAACAATCAATGACAGTATTAAGTCAACACGCGGATGTACAGTGGTTTAGTCCAGATGATCTACTCTACTTTGGGAAACAACAACGGTGACCAGAGGATCTTTATTGATGAAGTAAGATAAACAAGAAAGAGAGAACAATGGTTAGCTCCGAGAGAGGTATAATAGGTAGGAGAGAGAAAAGTTATGTGTGTGTAGAAAGGTGTAGAGATAGAGCTCAATATATCCTTTCATATAGAGAAGACTTGCAATTTATAAGCACAGGGCCTTGGTTAAGGCGATGACTTGAGGGCAAAGGTACTAATTATCTGGGTGACGATAAAAGGTAATTGTCATAAAAGGTTGTCTTGATATTCGAGAGTGAATATCCCGATAATTGCTTCTCATGTGCTTTAATTATTCTTGGACACCTTGAATTTTAGACTGGGTCAAATTCTCGAGCTGGACTTGACCAGTCCTTTTAGCTGATATGGGTTCATCTAATTTATTAGGCATGACTTGGTTAGATTTGGGCTTATCAAAAGGTATTTGGATTAATTTATGCACATTTTGATTAATTTTATTCTCGATTTAGTTAAAAACAAATCATTCACATCGAAACTAAGGTATTTACGAGAAATAAAATTCTCATGAGTCATGAACTAACATTAAGGAATTGTCAAAATTCGAATTCAGAACATTTAAATTTACAACTTGTATATATTATCACTTGAATTACCTCTTTGATTTTTATGCATCTAATTAATTCATGACTTTTCTAACAAAAACCATATATATTGAGGATGTTTTTCTGTATTTCATCTGATTTACTCATAGCAACAAAGCAATCAATTTGCCCTTAGGCAAAAACAAAAGAAGGGACTGAAGAACAAGAATGATCAAGACTTCCCCCATGATCATAGGTCAAAAAAGTGAAACACACCAAAAGAGATACAACCAGAATTCCACCCAACAAGGTTTAAATTAGAATAGATGCCACTATCTTCATAAGATGAGACAAAATATTATCAAGTGTAGTCAAAACAAACCTCTCTGTCTCTCTCTTTCTCATCCATCATGCATACATACACTATCTGCATGAAATCCTACAAAATTTTACTAGCCAAAACGAACCGTTTCTCTTTTCCATCTATCCTTCATAAAGTAAGCCAATACCTAAAGCCAACCAACAACTCAAAACATTCTTTCTTACATTGAGGTCAGTTCACAGTTGCAGACAAAGGATGGAGTTGATTTTTCTATCTTGAGAACATCACTAGCTTTTTTGTGACCTTTTCTCTTCTTTCTGAATTCATGGATACTGCTCAATGGGAACAGGTGGGTAGAGTATAATCACCGGTTTCTATTTCTCTGTACCTACTACCTATATATGTATGTTTTTTCTTTGTGCCTTGGACTATTGAGGCTTGTTTGGAACGATTTTCACTGGATTCTGAGAATTTTGTGAACTTTTCTTTCATGTATGACGTTGATAAGAGACTATGTTCAAGGGAACTGTAAGACACACTCATTATCAAAAATTTTGTTGAATTTTTCTTTCTCCCATTTGGAATGTTAATTTGTTCTTTACACATGAAACCAGTGCACCTTTTTGTTCTACCCTTTTTTGCTTTACTTTAAACAATAAAGGAATGAAAAAGGTATTATTCGTAATAGATCGATATGCGTTTATTTTTCTGTTGAATGATTCTCAAAGCGAAAGGTATCTTGTCGTGTTTGCCTGCTAGTTTTCTTTGATCTGTTTCTCTCTATCTCTTCGTTTTCTCTGATCTCTTAGTGACGATCCTTCTCTCTCTCTCTCTCTCTTGGTATATGGATTCAGGAGATTGGAGTGGTGAAACCAATGATAGAGATAGCTCCTAATACATGCTCCAGACCTGGGCTAGAGAGAAAGATGAGGCCACAAAAGGACCAAGCCTTGAACTGTCCAAGGTGTGATTCAACCAATACCAAGTTCTGTTACTACAACAACTACAGTCTCTCCCAACCAAGATACTTCTGCAAGACTTGCAGAAGGTACTGGACTGAGGGCGGTTCTCTCAGAAATGTTCCTGTTGGTGGAGGTTCGAGGAAGAACAAAAAAACTACTGCATCATCATCAACATCTATATCAGCTTCAACCCATAAACTTCCTGATCTAAACCCACCAAGCTTCTTACAGTTTTCTTCTCAAAATCCTGAGACTCATGAAGGCCAAGATCTTAATCTAGCTTTCTCAGCTGCCCAAGACAACCGTGGTGTATCTCAGTTCCTTGAATTCCCCACAATTGTAAGCCATGACTTTAATCACCCCAACCCCAACCCCAACTCTTCTTCTACTTCAATACCTCTTTCAGCCCTAGAGTTGCTTAGGACTGGAATTGCTTCTAGGGGTTGAATTCATTCGTCCCACCATCGATGCCTGATAGAAACATGCTACCAACATTAGGGTTTCACTTCCATGAGTTTAAGCCACCTTTTGGTTCTTCCATTGATGGGCTTGGAAATAGATATGGAGGTCTTCATGGGGTTCAAGAAAATGACACAAGACGGATGTTTCCTCTAGGAGCATTGAAACAACTTTCAAGCACAGGTGAGGCTGATCACAAAAATGGACAAGGAAATTCAAGTGGATATTGGATGGAATATTAGGTGAAGGATCATGGTAAGCAGTTGCTTTTTTCTTCTTTTTCTCTTTTTCCACTTGATTGGTTACTTGTTTGGAGTTGTTGAGATTTGAGAACTAACATGAATATACGTGTGTGGTTTCTTTCTACTACACTTTCTCATTTTTAATTCTGAAAATTTTGAAGCTGGATTCAAGTAGCCTTTTTAGGGTTTGGCTGTCACATTTGAGAAATAAAGAGAGAAAATGTAGCGATCACTAAATTAATTTGCATCGTAAGGATATATTGTCATGCATCATGGATGCCCTTAATACTCATGCAGATATGAAGGACTTTTATGTAAACCAGCTCTAGATTTTCCAAGCAACTATAAGACTGTTCTTGAATCCTAAATTCTCGCTATTACTCTACTTCGAAACTATGGAAACTTTAGTATTAACAATTTTCAAGAGCTGGCTCACTCATCCAATTGATATTGCTGCTACTAATAGTATTGCAAACTTAATTTTAATCCTTCAGCTTCAGCTCTCACTCAAAAGTAGAGATGCCAGGTATGGCCTTGATGAATAGAAACTAAAAATCTTGACGCTATGCGAACACACAAAGTGAGCAAGAGCCACATATAGGAGAAGAAATAGAAACTATACATGTCTCTGTCTCATGCTCTCCATCTTTGCCTAATTGCACCACTAATGGGTATGGATGCATGCACTACACCTTTTAAGTGCACATGTTTTTTGCTTTTGGAGTCTCAACTTTGATCCAATAATAAAAAATAAGTCACTAACCAATTGTACTTTAAAAATCAGTTTACATGCCTCTGCCTCTGCCTCTGCCTCCACTAAAACCTCATTGATCATTTTCCATATCCACTCAATCTAGACTCTAGGGGACCCTTTCATTGCCCCATTGCTAGGTCTAATCATAACTTGCATGTTATACACCTCTCAATATTCAAACTCAAAGAAAAGTCTGAAAAACTATTTAAGCACTTTCTGGGGTCCCACTAAACATTCTCTTGGCAAGCGTGCTGAGAAGTGATATCTTCCACTGAGTCAGTCCACCCAAATGTAACTTTTAAACTTCATTTGATTCCTCAAAAGACCGATAGCCACTTAAAAGATAAAGAGGAGGGTTAATGTTATTTTTATTAAATTTTTATCTCAAATGATGATATTATTTTTTATCATCATATAAGTAAGTCTCGTTAATATTCATTGATAAAGATTATGTTATATGATTTGAAATAAAAGATTTGATAAGTATAACATTTTTCAAAGGAAATAGAAGAAATTTTGGTTGGTGTCTTTGACGGCTAAATTTCAGTCGGTGAATTTCTAGGGGCGGATTTTATACTTTGTCGATGAAAATCTTTTGTGGTTGTGAATTTGATTAACAACGGAGGGTTGTTTTTCTTTGAATTATATGATTGAAGACGCTGAACTCGATAGAAATTTTTGTAAAAATTTAACAAACCATCCTTGGGGCTTATATCACTAATAAAATATCAAACATTGTCAATAAATGTCAACCACAAATTACTTTGGTAATAAATTTTTATTGAATATGCACGCCACATATTTTTTTATGTTCTCTGAAGAAAAAAAAATCACTTGAAAGTAAGTTTATCAATCATGTCAGGACTTAATTGGTTCGTTTCAAAAGACACTTCACTTATATTCAATTCATTTATTAATTTGTACCTGACAAATCATGTCAAATTGAGTTCATACTGTATATAAACCGTGTATAATTAATATATAAACTAACACATAAACTAGTTCTTCTAATTGATTTTATCCATAATTGATTGATTTATTAATTATCTTGTTGAGTTTACTCGTTTACTCAACCGGGATAACTTAAAAAAGACTTAAATTCTCTAATTTTATGTTACATTTATATCGTGTTAACAGGTCATGTCATATTTTATCATCCCTACTTGGAAGTCTAATTTCCGCTTCCGCTTGAACAATTACTTAATATCCGACCAAGAACAAGAACCACACTCTAAGCCTAGTTTCAACGAACAGGGATAGCTTGTAAACAATTAGCACAGCCCTATTTTCAAAAATTGAATAGAAATACAATTTCATTATTCACGGCAGCCTTATGAATCCCACACACCAGCAATACCCATACCAAGTGTTCCTTTCTCCACGAATCCTGCAGAACCTGAGATTTATGAAACATAAATGATAATAGAGAGCGACAAGTAGCAAAAACTGTCATATCCAATATCACTGTACTCTCAAAAAGCAGAGTCATTTTCTGTATCTCGTGTTCATTCTTGAAAACATACGATACTTACAGCTATAATACCACAGTCAAAATTATGGGCTAATAATATAACAGCAGTGTGATCTCACAGATGCACGAAAATTATACTGTACAAGGTAACACCTTTATTGCTTAAATAACTAGAGGGCGAGGGCGAGGGCTTGGGCTTGTAAAAGCATCAAGGCATCAGCTGTAAGCTGTGACATCTATACAGAAATTTAACATTTTAGCAGAACTTGGGAGATCAAAGGTTTTTAACACCCCCTGAATTCAAATGCGGGAGGTGTAACTCACTGATCACCATTAATTCCAAATATTCGGACCTTATGCATGTTGGGAAATTTGGCAATAACTAGCACAATCACTGCGAGAGTATTGAAGAGGAGCATTGGATGTTCATAGTCAGTTGTATGTGAAGCAATCAAATACCTGCCAACAGAAACAGCCAGGAAATTGGTCATTAATCAGTCACAACTTCAACATAATCAGAGTTCAGAATATCCAGACTGGCAACATTTGCAACCTAAACCATGAGTAAGCAAGCTTCAACTTTAGTATTTTAGTTACTCAAAATGAAAATCAATTTGGCCGTCAAGCCAAATACCCAGGTGCTGCATTTCATTAAGTTAGCAAACACAACACTGCCTCCTTAATAAATTCCTATAATCTATTTTGAATAAACGTTGGCAAAATATTCCAGCCTCCCTCATCCCCTTTTTCCATAATACTCAAATACAAGTATGTATATCATGATAGCAATGAAAATGAGAAGATACAATAGACTGGTGCAGGTATGTGTGGCCTAGGGATTGAGAAGAGAGAGAGAGAAAGAAAGAAAAAGAAACAGATTACCAAATCTTCGCAAGTATTAAATCAAGAAAACAATTTGCCCCTGGGAATAATTGTACTACTTTGATCAAAATGATAGGAATTATATGATTATTTACAAAAATAAGGCTCATACCAAAATAAAAACTACTCTCCTACTAAACACTTCTAATCATCTAATAAATACTACATTACTTTGGCCCAAATTGGTGCAGTGGTAAAAAAAGAACACACAGAGATCACTGCTCCCTTGTGCACAGAACACATACACTCTGAATCCACTGATAATTATGATGGACAGGTGGCATGTTTTTTGTGGAGGGTATTTTTGAAATTTAAATGAGGCAGGGTATTTTGGACTTTTGGGAAATAAGGTGGCAAATTTGTAAAGAAGAGAGGGGAACACATGTTAATGGTCATTCGGGTATTCTAGCCCTTTGCCTATAAGGAGCAGAAGTGGCCATCCTAGAGCATTCGTATATTATCACCCTATTTGTACATACTCTATTTAATCTGGAACAAGAAAAAGAAAGGAAAGCACAATATTATGTTCATGTTCTGTAGCAGTTTGATACATGCAACATTGCTTAATGAATCACTTCACATTTCTCTTCATTTGGGGCCAGAAATAAGTCTCCTCTACCAAAACAACACTCTTATCTCTACTCGTGTGTCCTCCCAAACCACCACTGTGAGACTCCAAAATAATATGCTCACGCAAGCATTCGGAGAATGCCGTGAGACTTTAAATAAAAAACCCTCAAGGAATTGGAATTCCTCTGAGACTCCATGTGCATCTATACATTATGCCAAAATCTGCTAGAATTCTCAAACTAGGGCTTGCAGTGTAAGCGCTTATCTTTTCCAACCCTAATGATGGATATCTCAAGAAAATGAATTAATATTTGCATTCTTATCAATTATTCTTATGGGGCACAGATAAAACATGATACATACATGACAAATAAAATATCGCTATGTATTTTTATATGACCAAAAGTTTACAAATTTGGCCAAATACATATTTCACAATTCACAAATTTCAACCTCATACACATACATAAATTTGGCATAAATTATGTGTAAAATATAAGCTTACAACCCAATTTGGCAAAAAAAAAAAAAAGAAAGAAAGAATAGACCAATTCCACTTCATTTTCTTTCTTTCTCCCACAAAGAAATTCTTGTGGCCATGTGGATGTAAATCATGTGGCAACAGGTTATTTGGAGCAAGAAGACCATCATGCATTTAAATTGTAACCGAAGGTAAAGCAACAAATCAAGATCAGTGTCGGACCGGATCAACAATTTGGCAACATTTTTGCCCAGAATATCCAGTTTTCTCCCACAGAAATTCTTGTGGCCAAGTGGATGTAAATCATGTGCCAACAGATTATTTGGAGTGAGAAAACCATCATGCATTCAAATCATAACCAAAGGTAAAGTAACAAAATGAGACCAGTGTCGGACCGGGTCAACAATTTGGCAAAACATTTTCGCCCAGAATATTCAGTTTTCTCCCACAAAAGAAATTCTTGTGGCCAAGTGGAAGTAAATCATGTGGTAAAGTAAGAAAACGAGACTACCGTCGAACCGGGTCAACAATTTGACAGAACATTTTCTCCCAAGATATTCAGTTTCCTAAATCATGTCGACTTTCCTAAGTCCTATTGGAAAGTAATCTTGATTTTGGCCAAATATTGTTCTAAGAGTTCGCGAGTCGCCCAAGATTTATCCAATTTCCAATAGTTTCTTGTGTATTACGTTCTAACAAAATATCTAGTGAACTATTAATGTAACTAGTTTAAATATACGTTAAATACGGTAGTTGGGGGATGGTAAAAGCTTTTTTTGAGAC